TAAATTGTTTCAAAACAGGAAGGACTATAATAGCTCTGCATGAGTTACAATTCACGACAAGCTCTCGAAACGTCAGCTTTTGTATCGATCGTTTTGGGATGGTAAATTGATTAATGTTGTCAATCCGTGATGAAAGTGTCTTAAAATCAAACCGTTGTCTTTGAATTTCCTGAACTACCCAGCACAACAGTTACCTTTAAAACTAACTTATTCATTCTTTATTGTAAGCATTAGGCACGTTATACTTTGTGTATTCACGGACTCGCATCATGTTTTTTTTTTCTCTACATTTAGCCCTTAATTTTCTAGCCCCTTGGTTAAACTATTCAAATACCTGATATTCATTGTTATAATTAGGCTTAATAGTTCTTTTGTCCGTGATCGAAATTGAACAGTCTTAGTTCTTTGTGCAAATTATCAATTACTGTTCTCGATGTGACTTAAAAATAGAAATGGAGGGGAAGGGAGGAGGGGGGGGGCATTCATGTCAGAGAATAAGCCCTCTCAAGGGAGACTAGATTTGATACTGATGATTCTAAGCGCTGATGAAAATAGCAATATTGATATCGGCGCTATATAAGTATTATTATTATTATTATTATTATTATTATTATTATTATTATTATTATTATTTGGAAGATGGAAGACCAGTGTGCATGCGTTTAGAAAAGTATCTGAACTCGTGTGGACATGGGCTTAAACGTCTTTGACCTGCTGGACCTGTGCCATTTTTAAACTATTATTAGGTGATCGCTGCGCTATTATCGTGCAAAAAGGCCAAAGATTACATTCGCTCGTATATGTGGACACAAACGGAAAAAGGGGGGGGGCATTCATGTCAGAGAATAAGCCCTCTCAAGGGAGACTAGATTTGATACTGATGATTCTAAGCGCTGATGAAAATAGCAATATTGATATCGGCGCTATATAAGTATTATTACTATTATTATTATTATTATTATTATTATTATTATTATTATTATTATTTGGAAGATGGAAGACCAGTGTGCATGCATTTAGAAAAGTATCTGAACTCGTGTGGACATGGGCTTAAACGGCAAAATGGCAGGATAATTAACAGAATATGGACAAATGGAACCTTTGACGTCTTTGACCTGCTGGACCTGTGCCATCTCTAAACTATTATTAGGTGATCGCTGCGCTATTATCGTGCAAAAAGGCCAAAGATTACATTCGCTCGTATATGTGGACACAAACGGAAAATGTTGAAATTCCTTTTCTCTTCTCCTAAAGTGAAACTGATTTCTCAAATTTGTCTTGCTGCTGGGAAATTCCTGCTTTCGCCGCTGAGACTGATTTAAAAATGCAAAAATGAGTGAATGTCATTAAAAGGAGGAGCCTGAATGAAGTTTTTAATTTCAAATGTGTTTTTCTTGATTGTGATAACCTTTTTGTTAGTTACAAAACTACTCCAATCCCAAGAGGATATTATCCTCTCTGGCCGTGCAATCCTTATTGCTCTACCAGCAAACAGGTAAGTGTTTCTGTTCCCCCGTAGCCGGCGTTTCAAGGCAGAGCACACTTAAAAACCATTACAGGACTATAAACCCCGAAAACTCCTTCCTTATAGATCCTTATAGCTCCGTTTTACTCCTAGAAGTGCCTTCATAAAATGTCCAAATTTCATTGTGCAAAGTGAGGAAATAGTGCAAGGCTTTTGAACGGTGCTACCAGAGGTTTATTTGAATGGTCACATCAAAGGATTTTGACTACAGACCGAAAAGTTAGAACTACCTCACAAGACGCTGTCATTCTCTAGGATTGCAAGGCTTGATCAATAGATACGGCCTGAAAACTGTTAGATGTAATTCAGGAGCTTCTTGGACTTGCAAAACACGCGTAAAAGTCAGTAAGCTTGAAAAAAATCTTGTCTATTTATTCATGTAGGCGGAATGTACAATATCACAAAAAAAGAAAGAAAAATAACAACTTGGAAACAGTCTTTCGGCACAGAAAAGTTTCCAGGCAACCGAATGTTGCATAAAAATTCTAACACAGTGGCGTGATCTCAGGTGAGTAGTGCAAGTGTGAAAGCCTTAGTAGGAACTTTAAAAAAAAAAGCCCAATATGTTCTGTATGTCATAAGAAACATTTCAAACTTATTTCAAACCTTTCAGATCAATTTTCTGAGAGTTTCATGTTCCCATCAATTTAACAGATAATTTTTTGACAATTCAACTTTGACCTCCTACCAGTTTTTGACAGCAGTATGTTTGAGTGACATCAGAATGTGACAAAATGTTCATGTGAATACATCTACCTATTCTTCTCATAAGAGCTCAAAGAGCACTGAAAACCCCCCCAAAAATTACAGCTTTCTGTTTTCCTCCTGAAATTGTCTGGAACAGACTGAATTTTGCAAAAATATCCTCGATTTTTGTTCATAATCAGTTTTCTTTTTAAAAAGGGCGATCGCTTTACAGTTCTGAGGATATTTTTAACTTGCATTGTTTTGTAAACAAAGCGACGACTTTTATTTATGCGTGCGCGATCAATGAATTCACAACAATCATGTCAGCGGCGAAGCAAGATGGCGGACAGTGAAGTGGACGAAGATTCGGACTTTGAGCGACAAGGAAGCACTGAACATGAAAGTCTGAGCACTGAAAGCAGTTATGATGGAAGTCCTTTAAGCCCTAGAAGCGACGATTCAGACTGGAATTTTGGAGTGAGTGAAAGTGCCGGTTTTCAAAATGGATTTGACCCGGAGAAACATCGCGAGGAGCTTATTAATGCCGAGAAAAAAGCTTCGATTGTGGATTGCCTTTTATTTGAAATTTACGACCAGTATCATAGCAGAGATTCGGTGGATAGTGATAATGTAACTGAATGTTCAACAACCTCAGGGAGCTTTTACGGTGGCTCGTTCGACCTTGAAGAACGCGGGGAAAGCTGGACGAGAAACGAACTTCTAAGCAAAGGTAAGTTTCTGCACAAACGCATTTGCTCGTTCGAATACCAAAGAACTCGTGGTCGAATACTTTGCTGTTATTTTTAAGAATATCTGCAAGATTTTGGCTGTATTAGATAGTGTAAATTTGTAAATTATAATGTCAAGCGATCGTTTTATTTTGCAAAATCTAGACTCAGTTATATTGGATTTTTAAAATCCAACATGTAACGCGTGTCCGATATGAACACGGCTTGTATGCATGTGAAGTGGAATGAAATGTGCGCGGCGCAAAGACTTTTTCTTTAATAAATGTATCCCTTTATCCTCTCTAGGAATACTACGGGTTTCTCAGTTTTCACCGCTCTGTAGTCCCGTGTTTAATATATCGCGTGTTCGCGATGTTGCGTCTTTTTTGATCGTTACTTAACGTACGTAACTTAACAATTATTTTTCTGTGGTAAGCAAAGAGCAGTTTTTCTACCGAAACACGCATAGTTACTCACCTTTAAGCATGTAAATCCCAGGTGATATTTTTTAATTTCATAACTGAAAGTTAATTGGTCGCTTGTTGTTATCTCCATTTTATACAGATACGGATGAGCTGAGAGTTATGGCGAAAGAGTTGCGGACGAGAATTTCTATGCTTTCAACAAAGTTGGTAAAACAGTTGAAAAGACGAGATAAGCACGCTTACAAACTGCAAAGAAACTTTGATGTTTTAACTGCTATCCTCCAAGCAGTTTCGCTGAAGAGACGTGAGTAAAATTCTGTTTTCTATTTTTCGTAGTTCTAATGCAAGGTTTTAACGTTTAGTTAATAACTCATTTGCCGAGTTTTACGATTATATGCACCTAATCCGCGTTAATGAGTAAAATCTGAAATTTTTCAGAGTGGGAAAAAGTTTGCAGAACTTTACATAATACGAGATCAACCTCAATGCTGGATTAATTAGTTTCATTCTAATCTTTAGCGAAACATAACAATAGAAAATATTTTTTAGAAACTGCTCAATTTTAATAACAAAGCTATGTTTGCTATCGACCTTCACAGTTGGAAAGGGGGAAAAGCTATTTATAAAAAGCCTTTGGATGAAGCATAAATCTTAAACACGTAAGCACTGTGATGTGTGGTGCAAATAGTATATTATTTTAAACTTGTTTGAACACATCTGTGGGTCTACTCTGCAAATAAATGGTTGAATGTTCCTCAAATCTATTGTAATGTAAATTTTGTTACACGTACGACCTATTTTAATTTTGCTCATTTTCCTACGCTATTCTTCTAAATCCATCCAGGCTGAAAAAAAAAACGATTTCAAAGACCGAATATCTTTATTTAATTAATTTTCGCAGCAAATCAGTCAGTTTTTTTTTGGCACATTTTTGTTTAGGATTGTTCATCCCACAGGAAGATCACAGAGTGTTGTAAAGATTAATTTATTGCAAATACTTCAATAATTACCAAACCATCAATCTTTGGGTATTTCAGTGACTGCTCTTTAATGATGACATGAGGTTTTTTACCAAATCTGATTCAAGGAGAAAAAAATCCATTTAAATGGGAAAGAACAATAAAACTTTGACCTATTACAAATTCACATCCTTTAGTATCTTACTATCAGTGAAATATTTTCAAATCGGTAATTAGATAGTTTTGCAATCTTTGGGTGACAAGTTTATAAATTTGGATGCCAGCGGTATTAAAAATCAAGACACAAGCTGACAGCTAAGTATTAAAGTCTGCTAAGTGATTATGATAATTATTGCCTGTGTGTGGTGATGTGTGAAATTCAAGAGTACTATTCTTGTGCTTGGCAATTCATTTGAAAATAGAGGGCTCTCATAATTTTTTTTGTTAGAATTTCTTTTCCAGTTGAAAATGCTGGTAGCATCTTAAATTGACATGTCAAGAAATAATTTATCTGGCAAGTTTGACAATCAATAGTCTCTAATACTAATGAAAGAGAAAATCCACATTCTTCTCAGTCACAAAATATTAATTCTCCATGCTCCAGTGTTTTTCCTTTTAACATTGTTGATATGAGACTTCTGGCAACACTGTTTCTGAATTTTTTTTTTTCAGTTCTCTATAACTAACTTTGGTAGATGAATAAGAATTAAAATAGTTGGTATGGATCAGTTTATTGTTGGTGATAATGAAAATAGAATCAGCAACACAGATTTATTAATCTTGGTGGTTAGGTAATTGCCTAAAGGAAAAAAAAATATTAATAATCAACTGAATGTTAAGTCAAGGGTGACTAGCCAAAAATATAGTGGAGCTTTAAATACCGTAAGGCACAATCAGGGCACGTACAGTCTAATACCATCAATGAAGAGATACAACTCATGTTGACTCTGAAAATGACTACTGCACAGGTTCTCAAAATGTCAGTCACTTTCCTAAGGAAACACTTATGTGACAATCATTTTCCACCTACTTATAACAAAAGTTTATATTGGGATGATAAAGCATAACTTCAGGAAAAGAGATATGAAATATAAGATGGCTATTTTTATTCTCCCAACCACCTCAATATTGTCTTAATCAACAGGGAAAATCAGTCAAAGAAGGCTATTAAAAAAACAAACTTAATTTATACTGCTACATTTTGTACTTATTGGAAAACTCTGGTTTTTGTTTACAATCCTGCCAAAAGAGCTGGATTAGTTACTAAATGCCTTCATCAAATAATCTTTATACAAAGTCAACATAATTAAGATTACTCCAATCACCCTCCTCATCCTCGCTCCATTTGTAAACTTCTAATTAATTGTAAAATGAAGTGTCATTCTGAAATTGAAAGAAGATGTACTTCTGCATATTATTGTTAAGTACAGTATTTTTTTTTTTACTTAAACATTAATTTTTTCTTCTTTGCATAGGTGTGGATACTAAAATCAGATTTTCCTTCATCCCTCAAAGTGGAAAGAAAGCCTATAAACAAGTAAGTTGTAATCTTCACTTGAACTCTTTCTTCTATTATTGATACATTCTTCTTTTTCTTCTCAAGAGTTGTGAGTGAGGATTGGATTAATTCAAGACTTTTTCTTTTTCTAGTGGTTGGCTGCTTTCAAAGCCATAGCGCGCTTGAAGGAGGGAATCCCATCATCTTGGAGAAGAAGGGTTAGCTACATTTTTAATGCCTTCATACAGTGAAAGCTGTATTTAGTGAATGCCTATTTAGCAGTCACCCTCTATTAAGCAGTGACCTTCATAATATTACTGTTAAACTGACCTGTATCCCAAGGTCCCAATGAATAATTTCTCATTGTCTTTACTTCTATTAAGTTGTCACTTTGACAGGATGCACCATACTAGTGCAAGAGATACAATTTGTATGGAGTTTAGTGGTCTTTTACGTCCTTTCTTTTGGCATTAGAAGAGGCAGACACCCTTAAGGACATTTTGTCAGGGATTCCTTTTTTTACCATCATCATTTTCCTAAACAACTCTTAGGTTTATCAAACCTGTTTTGAACGCCGACTGTCAACCTGTATTAAGTGGCCAGTGAGCCATTCCTGAAGGGTGACCGTTTAATACAGGTTTGACTGTATTTTGAGGACTTCATTCAAATACAAAACTTATTTGACATGGAAGATATTGCAGATTTCCAAGATTGAAGATCTTCCATTAAAAAAAATGTTTTCTCAAAAACGGTCTTAATATCAATATTGGATAATACAGGTAAATTGATGAAGAAATTCAATTGACTATTTTCTTTTCTTCTCATAACTACGTACTCATTTAACTAATTCAAGGTCTTAGTCTAAAATTAGAGGTCTTCACGAAATAGTTGTAACATTTGCGTTTCGATTATTATAATAATATCGACAACGATGCGACACTCACAGTTTGTTCAACACATGAAAAAATAGTAACGCACACGCGAGTTATTGACTTTGTTACTTTATAACGGAAAGGTATTGATTGTCTTTATTCTAGCTGTGGTTATGTCTTGCTGAAAACAAGATTAAAGATTTAGACTGGGAAAAAACAGCCAAAGTCTGCTTCAATGAAAAAAGTAATCCAGATGATGACGAGCTAGGATCACAAATAGTCAAGGTAAAGTGGAAACTCGCAATTGAAGGAGTTTATATGGAAAAAGGGCGTTGGTCACATCGGAGGGGTTAGGATCACGAATGGCCTTACATGCTTCTTTCTTGACTGTTTTTTTCCTTTGAACTAACTTGAACTGAAATTCAGCTGTTCTTATTGGGGTTCCGCTTGGTGCCGAAAATAGTCCAGGTCAAAAAGTCTAAAAATAGTCGATGAAAGTTAGTCAAACAGAGTAGGAAAAACCGACCCTCTTGTTAGTATAGTCAATAAAATAATCGCCTAAAAATATTCTTTTAGACGACGGTTTGGCCTTATATTTCTTTAAAAAGAAAACTACGCGAAAGCCGTGAAAACTGAGAGTCCTGGAAAGCTTGAAAAGCGAAACAAGGGAAGAAAAATAAAAACGCAACTTAAAATTTGACATAAGCCAATGAGATTTAGCTTTTCTACTGGGTGTATGTTGATCAAAAATGATTTTAAAATACCACAGCTTGTCGCTTTAAACGCTGGCGCTCGATTTTTTTGATTTTTTCCCTCGCTCAGTGCACAGAGTTGCGACTCGTCAGAAGGTCCTGATAGCGGGGCTCATATTTTTCTGTTGTACTCAATCATGACATCACTAATACTACTTGTTTCTTCTGATCAAACTCTGTATTGAATATAACCAGAAATATTTAACATAATTGTAACATTTTAAAAAAGGAACACGCGAGCAATTTTTGAACGAGCAACAATTTTTTTTATCCCATAGAATTACTAATTCTTTGCATATGTGTTTTGCCGCACTTGTACAGGATCTTCACCGCACTGGCTGTAGTTGGTTCTGTAGTCAAGACAGTCCAGAAGAGAGAGCATCTTTGAAGCGTGTTCTGCTAGCTTATGCCAGATATAACAAGTCTGTTGGGTACTGTCAGGGCTTCAATGTTATTGCTGCCCTAATTCTGCAGGTCATGGAACGCAACGAAGAGGATGCACTCAAGGTGACCCTACTTTGCTGTTACAAATAGTTTTGGATCCCCGATATAACAAAGTGCCAGGGTGGGATATCCTCTCTCTTAGTGGGGATAGGGCGAAAAGGTGAAGCCTTGTTCTAAGGCTATAACTCGGGCGAATAAACTATTTTTTGATCAATCTTTGCGCCACGATTTTGTTTTGTTGAGGCTTCTCTGTATCTGTGAAAGTTCAAGTTTTTTTAAGTCCACTTACCAAGCCTAGCGGTGCAAAACCGAAGTAAGGGTAAATTCTCTAGGAGACTTTCATATATTGGATTGAATTTGCATTTTTTGTCTAGTTAGTGATCTGGCCCGGGTTTGTCCAAACGTTGGATAGCACTATCCATCGGATAAATCACTATCTACAATGTAGTGGATAAGTATTAGGGAAACCAATTGCGTTATCCACGGGACAGCGATTTATGCGGTGGATAGCGCGATCCACCTTTTGAACAACTGGGGCCTGCTGGATATCTCATTGCTTAATTTGCTATTCTTGTTTAACCCAAAATTCCTTTATAGGTCATGGTTTACGTCATTGATCACGTACTGCCCACCAATTACTTCGCCAATAACCTTCGTGCTTTGTCTGTGGATATGGCGGTGCTGCGAGATCTGATGCGAGCTAAGCTGGTTCGGCTATCGAAACACTTGGATAGCTTACAAGCACAAGCATTGTCACAGAACGGCTCTAACGCCATGTACGAGCCACCTTTGATCAACGTGTTTACTATGCAGTGGTTTTTGACACTTTTTTCGACATGCCTTCCTGAGGAAACTGTTTTGCGAGTCTGGGACTCAATTCTGTTGGAAGGCTCCGAGGTGCTTCTGAGAGCTGCTGTGGCTATCTGGGGTAAACTAGGAGAGTACGTATCAAGCCCTGCCTTGTTTTCTGTACTGTATTAACATTTAGATGCTCGGGGAGGTGGGGGAGGGGGGGATACTCAACAAATTTTGAAACGGGAGGCTCCGCCTCGAGATCCAACCCCTTACCCTTTTATATACCATTTTTCACGAAAAAGCTACTCCTTTCGTATACCTTCTATTGACAAATGGTACCCCTTTCACATACCTTGTTTAGAACTTTGCATCCCTCTTAACTGCTGTATATGCGCTGCATTTCAAATAGGAATCAATCGCAAAAATAGAACGTTTTCTCGACTTTTTAAAGCCACAAAATTCATCTGTTAGCCCTTTGGGCAATCTGTGACAGATTTCCCTACCCTTTCGTTTATTTCAACGACTAAAATCTCTACCGTTTCTTATACCTGAGGCCTGAATAAGGTACCCCTTTCAGGCGGAGCCTCCACGTATAGGCCGTTATATGGAGTCCCCCCTCCGGGTTTAGATGGTGGAAAGAGTTGAACACAATGAAACAATGGTTAAAACTAACAACCAAACAGTTTGATGGGGGTTATATACGTCTCTTGTACCTGAAATTCATGTGTATGCAGTTCGTGCAACAGTTTATAAAAAGGGAACGCTTCGTTTTGTTATGCCTGTGGGATTTTTTTTTATTAACAGTGCTTCACAAGTTACCACCAGCTCAAAAGTTAGAACCGCTTTTAATTTCATACATATTGAGAATTATCAGATCGAATTTGTGTGTGTGTTTGCAAAATTTCCGGCGAATCAGTATCAAACATAAAATAATTTCTTCCAATTACCTTCAAACAACTGTACAGTGTATGTGCAACACAGTCAGCAGCTCCTCTATAAAGCTCTGCTCGGTAGCTTTTATTTTAATTGCCTTATTATCTAGAACTTTAACCACAGACTGCAATACTATAGTTAGACCACCTTGAACACCATCCCTTGGCGTGATGTATTTTAATTTTACGCCTTTAAAGGTAGGATCGTCCTCACACACAGTTTTAGCTCTAACAGTAAGAGGTTTAAAGCACCTGTGGTCACTTTGCCTTGCGTGCCATTTAGTGGCTATATTGTATGTTTCTTAACCCCTTAAACTTTGATTGATACGTTAACATTGTAGGCGCCTTGAAGACGTGGAGACGTCAGATGATTTTTACAGTACAATGGGAGTCCTAATACAAGATGTTTTGACGGGCAATGTTATCGACTGTCAAACTCTAATGCAGGTAAAGTTTCCCATGCATTTAATGATTAATTTACAGTTTGCAACCTTCTTTGATGAATCTTTTGGACTTTTTCTCGCGGACGTTTTAGGTAAGGAGATTGCTGCATTTAGTAAAACTAGCTGTCGAACGGTGATCCAAACATATTGTTTTTCTGCAACGATAACTTCCGTTCCGAGTATTTCTGTGTTAAGTCCTTGGTACAGATAATGATGCTTTGAGAATGACACCATGCAATATGCGATGTCTTAAGGTATGAAAAGTTAGAATAAGATGTAGGGCTGATGTTTTTGAAAGGGAGAGTTTTTCGGTAACCAACGGTAACATTAAGGCAGGCGATAGGGTGTGTTACAATGTATACGAACGTTGCAAACTGTTTGACCATTTTGGTCTGAAGCCAGGTTACTTAAGAAACATGTGCGACTACACACGTTTTCTAAACAACCGATCTAGAAATGTAAACTGATGTCGTAAACGTTTATGCAGCTGTTGTGAATAGAATTAATTTGCAGCGTTAAACTAGAAAGCGTGTTTTTCTTCACGCTCCATTTAGTCTCCCAGACTCTTCATCTATTTTTTTGTGATAATGTTACGGATAAGCTGAACATAGGTTGATATCATTTATACGCTTCTATAGTACATCAGCAGTATAACATTGCCGTAGAGTTTTGAGCTTTATTTATCTATCGTGACTTAACCACATTTGATTGGTCGGGCGATTGGTCTCACAGGGAGTTTTATGAATTTAGAGGGCGATTAAGATCATCTTAACCTAGAAAACGTTCACACAGGTAAGAAAAATTCCGAAGTACTAGGGTGCATAGCTTGTTTGAAAACACGTGGAGTTATAACTAAGCTAAGTTCTGGTTTAGTAAAGTGGGGCCTCTTAATAGAATCTTGTTGAAGGTTAGACTTTCTTAAAGTCCTTCGCTTCTCCGTTCTCGTTTCTGGCCGAAAACAAAACATTTTGTAGCTCGCGCTCTGCGCTGGAGAAAAATTTTGAGCTCGACTTGAAGGTGTGCACGCGGAAGCGACCGTAAATTTGAGTAAGGAACTGACTTCAGTTCAGATTTCAACTTTGAGTCGGAACTCTGTTCCCTTGAATTGAACACAGAGAAACTTAAAGGATACAAATAGCAGGGTTGTGCTACAAGAAATATCCTAAAGGAATCATGATCATTTGTGAGTTTTGGACATGTATTTGGTGTTATCTGAAAATCATCAATCATCATTGCGTAGTTGAAATGGTCTTATAGCCATAAATCTAGCTAGAGTCCAATTTGAAGAAGATGATAATGTTTTTGCTCCTGACAGCACTAAGTTTCAATTTATTTGTCCGCCTTATCTAGAACAGCTCAAAATGCAAATATAGATATTGCTGTCCAGTAAGTTAGTGATTTGTAATCGATACCATCTGTCTGCTAAAGGAAAATTAATGTAATATAACCGATTAACATCATGTTTGTTGAAAATATCAGACGATATGCAGGGTATATTGGCCCAAAATATTGAAGATGAGAAAACAGAAAAATGACGAGAGTGCTTATATAAAGTCGTCAGATCCGCTATTTCCAGCGCTCACCAAACTATTACGGTCCCCTCATTTTCAAGTTATGACTTACAGTGCTCGGAAATCACGAATCTGTATTTATCATGTAGCATTGACTATGTCAATACAAGACATTTAGTAGTTTTATCTGAGCTTGCAGTTGACGAAAATAGGCGCTGGCAAAATTGCCGACTATAAATAATACTTTGACATAGCCACTGTAAAGATATAAAACCCTATTTAAATGGATCCAACTTGTCAATCTAACATTCTCAAATTTTGTTTTGAGACGATTTGACTGGATATTAAAGCCATTTAAGCGGTTTTTCTTCTTCTCTTACAGGAGGTCTACGCACTTGCGCCGTTCCCTTTTCCAGGCCTAGCAGAGCTTAGAGAACAGTATACTTACAACATCAATCCATTCTCTGACGTCACTGGTGACAGAAGCCGACGATCAGCACTGGCACGTGGTTCTAGCGACGAAGAAGACGATGTGGACGATCTTGAAGGGATGAGTTGCCTTGGAGCTTTCTTACCGTTTTCGGAAATTGTCCCCGGCAACACGATGAAAGCTGTTGGTCAAGGCGACGCAGATGCAAATGACATCGCCGCGGCTTCGCCGGGTGTATTTGCTACTGACGGGTATTCGCCTCTACCTTACACAACAAAACAGTTCGGTTCAAGGGGAAACCGCGTGCAAGAGGAGATGTCCTACTTACAGAAACAGTACGCGAGGATGAGGCAAATGCAACAAAATGCGGTCGTGGTCTTTTCAGAGGCTGCGGTGCAGAATATTCAAGAATCGGAAAAGCGTAAGAGCATTCCCGCTGCCATTAACCATTTGCTTGTATCGGCGACAAAGCGAAAGGTGAAAGCTACCAGGAGCCATTTTGGGACTGAAAAGAAAAGCAATCAAACGAAAGCTGTCCAGAAGTCCTTGTTTGATGAAATAGCGAGTCACAAAGCTGAAGTTAAACAGAACGCTTACGAAAAGGAAAGCTTGCAGCATTTAAATATGTTGTTCAAAGGTGACAAGAAAGAGCGAAAAGAGGCACAGGAGGATGGGAAAACGAAGAGTTTTAGCAAGAAAGTAGAAACTGAAAGGACAGAGGGTTTGGTGAGTGCAAAAAAGGTACACAAGGAAGAGAAACGGTGGCAAAGCGAAGAGAGGCGTCGCCACGTTGAACCGCCAACTGTTAAAAAGGAAAAGCGAGTCGCCCCCAATTCGCTTAAAATGCAGCATGTTGGATTAAATGGTGAAGTGTCCTCGTTAGAAACTGGAAAATCAAAGCAAAATGGCGGGCCTATTCTTTCGATCGTTAATCCTTCTAATCATACGCCGAAAGTTACGGTAGTGGAGTCATCAATGTTAACGGTAACAGAGGGCAACAATGAAGCGGCTAAAACTGTTAAAGTACTGGATAAAAACAGTCCTGCTGTCCTCGATACGGGCATGCGCAGCTTCGGTGGGACAGGACGGGTCTATAACCGTGGGGCTATGAACTCTTCTGGTAATAGTTCATGGTTATTAGAAGAGGACAGGAGATGTAAGTACCCCGAAAACTTTAGACCCTTTCCTCAACGGAACAAACAGCCCACTAGGAGCAGAATTCTTTATGGCAACATTTCGGACAAAGGTGCCAAGCGAATGGACGCTTTTCAAGTCAAGAAAGATAATCGGCAAAGTGTCAATGGTGTTGCGGTCAATGGAGGGGCAGACGGTAAAAGAAATTAGTGGCGAAGAGAAGCGTTCTGCTGGATAATTTTTGTTTTTAAGGTTTCGTCGACGAATCACCAGAAATACCCAAAAGCTGCGAAAGTCGACGAAATGCGCATGGTTCGAAGCCCGGTTGGCGCTAATGGTTTATTTTAACAGAGGATATTAATTGTCATGGTAGCTAACCTTTTTCGGCTAAGAACTTTTGAATAACTCGAAACAAGATCTTGGTGTTTTCTCCCGTGAACCTACAATGTTTTCAGGCCTTCTCCGTTTTCGAAATACTCCACAGGCTAAGAAGGCCCGTGGACGAGGTTGAAATTGTTGTGCAACGTTCTCCGCCGCCTTTACGTATACAAGTTGCGTGAAACGTGTAAGCCGACTTAAATGGGTGGCTGGGCACAACAGAGGAGGCTTCCCTCTAAGTAAACAATCATACAGTGACCGGTATTGTCCCTTACCGATTATGTTCAGAAAAATTATAATTTATAAGTAGTGTTTCATAAAAACCCGAATATTTTGACATATTTTGTAATTAATGTCTATTATCTAAGGCGAATGAACTTGAAAATGTAAAAAAAGTTATAAGAAATATTCAGTCCCCCTAGAAGGGGCAGTTACAGTTGTGATTCAATTGGAGGTGGAAAGAGCTCTCTGCAAAGGCGTCTTGTTCTTCGTGCTCCTGCTCAGTGCTACAGCAACAAAACAAACCGAGACTTGTTACAAAGACTTATTATTTGGGCGTGGCCCAAATAGAGTAACCGAGGTCGCTTGTTTTGATTCAAAATAGGTTTGCAGCACGTGCGAAGGTAAACAAGCCAAGGGACAAGAATCTCTTCCGCGCGCTTTGTCACAACACAGCATTTATCTTCGTTAAATGCGACCCACAGATAATGCATTGCAAACAAATCGACAATTTGGGTAGAAAGCAAGCTAATCTGTTTAATTCTTGTTAATATTATAGATTTAATTAACTGCATCTTTGCGTGGTGTACCTTTTTATTGCTAAGGTTCAGTGTAGCTAGCTGACCATTTGGGATAAATATATCCCCCATATGCATACATGAAGTTAGAATTAAGAGTATTTTGAAGGGGCATGAACTGCCTTTGTTACATAATTATCACGTATTTAAAGAATCTATATTTAAGAAAAAATAGTAATTTACAGTAAAAGTAAAGTTTTTAACTGGTGTCTAAACGGCTTTAGCTACCAATTCCAATTGTTTGTTACAACATAACCTCTGTTTCGCAATAGTTTTACTTCTCGTTTGAACGTAGAACTTTAAGTTAAAAATGTTAAAAACCTTTTCCCGGAAAAGGGACACATGAATCTTTGTCAAGTGCATATAAAGGTGCGTCCAATAGAAAAACGTCTTTTATTCTGTAGAAAGCACAGAAACACATGAAAAAGATGCATTTAAAGGTGCTTCCAATAGAAAAACGACTTTTTGTAGCAAGCGCAGAAACGACGGTACTCTTCAAAATCTTCCGCAAGGAAAAAAAATTGTTACGCCGTTTTTATGCTTTTGTGCTTGTTTTGACCGTCAAGAGTTTTCAGACGAGATTAGATGAAATCAGTCTGCTTGTGCTACGAATTTATAGAAGGCTGCCTAAGTTCTGGCGCGTTATGACAAGGCTGTCCTATAGTACGTTGTAGGTAAATCACCTAGAATTGTTGTAGAGAAAAGTTTTGTTACTTTCGAGAAAATACTATAATAAATGAATGTATTTTTCTTTGAAGATAATCGTAAGTGTGAAATATTTATTAGACAAAGATAGACGGATACGGAAGTATTAGTTCAGCATTCTGTAAAGGAGTCAAAGCGAAGGACAATAATTTTAGCCTTTTTACTGGTTTACAGAAAATTGAAAATAAATTATTGGAATGTTAACTAGTGAATCCAAACTGTAATCCCCGACCAACGTGAAAGGCATAATTCTAAATTGTCTTAAGGCGCTTTCCATTTATCAGAACTGACCAGCCAGCCCATTCCCATTGTGATGAGAATTTCACTTTTAACCAAAACTAACCAACCAGATCAATCAAATCCTAAATATATGCCCACAAAGGAGATGGTTTTCCAGCAAAACCTCTTGGAAAACGCTCTGACTTTTGGAAAGCGCCCTTAGACCCAAGCCACCACCTTGGTTTAAGTGAATGCGGAGATGAGATGTGAGGATGCATGTAATTAAATGCAACAGCACATTTTCAAACAGTCGAAGGGTATTCTCCCCACTCTAGAAAACGTTCAGTGCCTGCGTTAATGTATTACAGTTGAGTCAATCATTCCCCTCAGGGACATGAGCGTGCTAGACTTCTTTCTGTAGGATACTTGACTTTCAAACGTAACATGAAATACAGTACGGTAATAACAGTTCCTTTTACAATAGGCAATTTTCGAGTCCAAAACCCCTCGTTTTCAAAATGGGGCCAAGTGCAAAACCTTGCATGTGTAAATGATTTTTATAAGCATGAGATTAAGATTAATTTCTTAACAAAGACTTTGTATTTTTCCTGTTGTGGAAAGAGCCAAGGGCCAACTCGGAAATTAGCCTATTGAAGTTTACAATTCAAGTCAGAAAAACAAGACTTGTTTTTATAGACAATGAAGTATCTCAAGGAATGAGGAGGCTTACATTGCTCCGAATGTTTGCTGTCCTCTAGCGCTAATCATCGCCCGTTTTACAATAATCCTTGGAAAATCCCTGCAAAGGCGTCTTGTTCTTCGTGCTCCTGCTCAGTGCTACAGCAACAAAACAAACCGAGACTTGTTACAAAGACTTATTATTTGGGCGTGGCCCAAATAGAGTAACCGAGGTCGCTTGTTTTGATTCAAAGTTGCAATAGGTTTGCAGCACGTGCGAAGGTAAACAAGCCAAGGGACAAGAATCTCTTCCGCGCGCTTTGTCACAACACAGCATTTATCTTCGTTAAATGCGACCCACAGATAATGCATTGCAAACAAATCGACAATAGAAAACAAACTTTTTGGAAAAACAAGGTACACTAGGGGAACAAACTATTGTATAGTTTAAATTTTCCCTTTGGAAAATAATCGTCCTCGCAGCACAGTGTGAATAGTTTGGCTTATTGCCAAGGGTTTGACAATATTTTTGCTCTCCGTTGTCGAACGCCAAAGAAGAGGTCATACAAGATTCCATGATCTCGTGCATAAGATAATTAAGGGTAACATTAAATGATGCATAATTTCATTGCATATTTTCGGAAAGGAGGTGATTTCTTAAAATCGTATTGAGCAAAATGACCTCGTAAACAAGTTGCTTTCTTTCACGGGCGAACCGTAAAAGGGACAGAGTCCAACATCTTCACGTGCAAACCTCGTTCTATTTTTAAAACCCTTAGGTTAATTAGATTAAGTCGTATTCTCTCATGCAGGAACCACGAAAGCGGCAAATTCCAAACCTTTCACGTGCAAACTGCATGACANGCGTCCCCCCATGTCTAACATCTCTCCCCACCCCCCGCCCTTTCCACCCCCCGCCAACCCGGCTGGCTTCCTTTTTATTTAATTCTTTTTGTTCGATTACATAAAGTGCAAAAAAATCCCCGGGGAAAACCAAAAATTCCTCCCCCCCCCCCCCCTTAACATCTTCATACCCTCTTCTCTATATTAAATGAACTTTTGGCCTTATCCACGTTCTCTCCATACAACTATTATCAAAAATAAGCGAAAACCAATCCTGAACAGAAAGCCTAAAAACGTTAAAATAAGTACAAGTATGTTGATAAGACTTTTCATAACCACCAATTCATTTCAACATACTGTAACTACACTATCCCTTCATAACCAAATGAGCACTTCCAGCACAACTACCTCACTGCAACACCTAAAATCACTTTTACCTACCGAAATAATCATTTTTTGTTACTTCATATTAAATTCTACGAGAAACAAGTTTCACTGATTAACAAACTACATCCATTATCTTGCCAATTCACGTCCAATATAACTCCACGCTTTCCACTTCACGCATCTCCACCAACCCCTAAATTATACAACGCTACTGCACTACTCACACATTCCTAATACACATAAAAAACTTAAACTTCAAACACACGGGTGGTACATCGACGCTCAAATATACGCTCCCACAGCGTCTTGTTAATAAGGAATTTTCTGAACGGAATGTCCAAAGATGGTAATAAAGGAGGCCATTTTTTATTTTGAAGGCGTAGAATAAATTGAGTAAAGAGAAAACTTCGAGCAGTTCCACCTAACCTTCATCGACACATACATTGCTTAAGATACTTAAGAGAAGAATTAGTTTTTTAAAAAACCAAGACATGATGATCATTAACTTGATCCTTTTACATTAATTTAGCACTGATGAAGGCAAAAGACCCCAAGGGTTAATTAGTATATCTCCCTGGCTCTGAACGGATTGACCTAATGGTTTCGTAAATGTTACGCCAATTCGAGATAAGATCGTTGCGTGATACAGACTCTAACAAGACTCACCTCGTGAACGATTTGGAACAGAAGAAAGAAGAAGAAATGGGACTAAAAAAAAGGAGAAATTTTACATATTAAAAAATTATGAGTCCTTCTCTACACTTTTTTCAAACCGAAGTATATTATCTCATACTGTAACAATTAGCAATTAGCAATTAGCAATTAACTGAAGGCTTACAGCTGTTTCGGAAAACACGCGACCTGCGTTGGCTAAAACGTTTAGTATCAGGATTTTGGTTTTTTTACGACGTCAATCAAACCGTTACCGTAGCATCCACTGTGTTTGTCAAATAAGGGTGGCAATAACGAGCAGAAGCTGCAAAAATTAATGTTAGCGGGAACGTTAAGGTTCCGATTTGGTTTTATGATGACATATTTTCTGCTATTGATAATAATTAATTAACCGTAGGCATTTTTATCGATTTATCTAAAGCATTTGATACTGTTAATCACCAAATTTTATTGATAAGTTATTGCATTATGGTATCTGAGAAGGGAAGGCGTACAATTGGTTTGCGAGTTATTAATGGAGTAACAGGCATTAATTTGTCCAATTCAATGACGCCTCTTCTTCTCTACATATTATTAAATGCGGTGTACCTCAAGGCTCGATATTAGGTCATTTGCTTTTCTTAATTTATATAATATATAAATCAAGCTTTTGTCTTCCTGTTACTTCTTTACATACCTTTTTTATAGGTTAGTTTATCCTTATGAGTTATCTTGTATATTGTGTTTCAGTATGGGCATCAACTTACCCCACAAACTTGAATCGTATTGTCATACTTCAGAAAAACGTACAACTTTCAAATAAGCAAATTTTATTTAACACGTTCGATGACTCCCTTCCAATGCAAATGCCAAATTCAACTCAAAGCAACCTTTGTCTATTGGTTTTACTGCAAAAGAAATACTTGTATACTTGCAAGAATATTGTAACGAAACCTAATTTAGATGAATAATTAAGTAAGCTTTTTGAACAATATCGCATTGAAAATTGTGGCAAACATTTTTAAATATGTGTGGCAACTGACAGGTTTTTATCCTTCAATACTTTTTATTGTAATCTGTTTTGTTACTTACTGACTTATTTATTTATTTATTCTTTTACTTTGTGCTGTGTATTAATGCTGTTAATTTGTTGTCAATAATAATAATAAAAAACTTCAGAAAAAAATTATTCCTATAATATCAGATGTTCAAATACTGCTCTAACGAAATATAAGACTTTTTGGTATAAGATTTCAGGGCCGCCTAAAACGAAACAGCTGTAAGAGACTAAAGACCGGTCACTAACCAAAAATAAGTGAGAGGCTCAAGAAAAAAAAGAAAGAAAAATGGTCTGTTTGTTCACACGCCAAGGTGAGATTTCTGTAATAGAAAAACTCGTTTCCCATAAAGATTCTTTTACATATGTCATCATGTTCTTCTTCTGGTCTCCTTTTCTAGTTACATGTTGTTTTTGTTTAACGAATGCAACAAATCTAAATATACACGTTACCTTTGTTCGCACATTGCTGTGCTGAAATCGTCTTGGCTCTTGCGGGCCTTGTTTACGTTGGAACCAGACCCGCTTTGACTCAACACCAGGGGATCAAGGCTGGTTGAACTCATATTACTTGAAAGGCTCGCCATTTGCTTGGTTGGTTGGTTGAGAACAGAGGTCTGGGGTGTAGTAAAATCAGGGAAAATGTCCCATTCTTCCATTTCTAAATCATCCAGTGGAAAGTCATCTTTCCAACTGCCGCGTATATGACTTGCCCGTGTGGTTGTAGGGTCAACTTTACTGTCCAATCGATTTGTACATAGTTTATTGTTTGGACGTTTATTGCAATCTTGGTCGCTTGACTGGTCCAATGCATTCCCCGCGGGGCTGGGAGAAGTTGGCAAAGCCGTGAAGGTGGTCTTTTGTGAAAGTGCGTGTAACAGTTTTGTTGAATCTCCATGACTATTGGTTATCCGCTCAAAATCATCTGCACCAGGAGTTGGCGGCGGGGCTGGGAAAGAACGTAAGACTCTTCTTGGGATTCTTGAGACTGCACTTATGGGCTCAATATCATCTGCATCAGGAATGGCTGTTGAAAGTGACCAGTGTCGCGAGATCCTTTTCGAATTCTCTCTTGACTGGACTCTAGCACCTGATGAAGAATTATCCCCTGTTTTCTTCGCCTGGCATCCTATTATAAATTGCGAGCTCCTTGAGAGCGGCTGTCTGAATTCATCGGAGATTTCTTGACGTTTCTTTGAAGCAGTGGGTTTAGAGCAATGAGAACGGGATGAATTCTGCCGCGACTGAGCTACTGGACTGACAATAAGGTCACTGTCATCGCTTAGAACCAAAGGGAGGTCATCGTCATTCGACATCTCATCGACAAGAAAGCAAGGAAGTTCACCCTCAAAAGAAGCTATAAAGATGGAGAACAATTTAAGTGACTTTTTCTACTCTTTACAGAAAATCTATAATTATCTTCAACGATATAAGACGTGGAATCCACCATTCTCAGCTGAAGGTTGACAATTTTTGTTCTCATCGTGTAAAAATTAAAATTTTTAATGGATAAAGTATTTTAAACTTTAAAGAAGTTGGATGTAAAAGATTGTGAAAAAGGATAATGATAGTGATATGTGATGATGATGATGACGATGTTGGGTAAAACGCATGGAAGTGATGCTCATGATGTTGAATGACAAAAACGTGATTACGATGATATGATGATAAAAAGAAAACGACACCCGTAACGTTGTTGATACAGAGTAACAGACAATGATGACGATGTCAGATGATTGTGACGGACAATGAAGATAACCATGTTAAGTCATATCGAAGATCATTTGTTACTTTAAACAAAAATAAGCTTGTTCAGTTCTATAAAATGATAGAAATGCTAGAAACATACCATCATATGTTGAATCTTCATTTGTTTCTTGATTTCCCTCTACCCTCCTTTTATGCCAGTCAATTTCTTCCCAAAAACGTTTACCAGGATCTCTCTTTAAAGCGGAGCCATCGTTTTCGCTTCGCCCATGACAGGTATTGCGCTGATGGCTGATGGGGGCCTTGCGAGTGTAGCCAAATCTTTCATCGAGTGTTAAATCCACAAAATCAGTACTTCCTGTCTCGGGTGCTGACGACTAAAAAAATATGCGGAATATATGCCTTCTTTTACTACAAGAATTGAAATAAAACTCTCGAGTTCTCTTGAGTTCACATTATCATGGTAAAACGAATACAGCTAACACATACAGAACAAATCAATGACTTGTTGAAAGGAGGGGACATAAAAATTCAAAGCAACATTCCAATTTCACAGTCCATGTCGTTTGCCCCTTTTTCGTCTCGTTCTTACTGCTTATACTTAATCTTACCTTCAAGCGTTTAGCGGTAGGCGTTCCGGGAATCGCTTCTGTTCTTTGGTGGAGGTTTTTGAGAAAAACGTCCATATGACTCGGTTCAGCAAGTTCTACATTCTTTCTGAAGGCTTTATCTACAAGGTAAATCGTGCCTTTCTTTTGAAATTACGTTTTATCACGGTATGTAGTTTTAATAAATAAGTGACTAATTTAAGATTAATTAACAATGAAAGGCACTTCAAGATCTGTTTGGACTCTCGCCAATCAGAGAGCAGGATTTGAGTCATATCAGATACCTGGACCATCCTAGCCTGAGTAGCAGGCGTCAAAAAGGGAAGGCAAAATTGCTGCCTTTTTCCCCCTTGCCCTTTCAACGCCAGCCGCGCAGGCTAGGACCACCAAAGAACGTTACAGCCAACTTAACATCAGGCTGATTTAGCAACACGAGGGGAACGTCAGTTGAGGACGGGGAAGCACGCGGAAAGGACTAAACGCAACTTTCGGTGCCCAATTTGAAGCTCTGCCATTGGTCAAGCCAGTTGTTTAGTTTGCGCGCGCCGTTGTCAACTGACGTTCCCCGTCCTGTTGCTAAATCAGCCTAAATTCATGCGTTAGCCGCTACCATGTAAATTACTTGCTTCCATTTAAAAGCCAAGGATTAGCTTAGCTCAAGAAAGACTAATAATGTTTAACACTGGGGAACGCAACAAGGCTCTGCAAAAAGTAATAAATTTTAATTTTTTTTAGTTATCTATTACCTTTACATGGTGTGATTTGCGCTGCTAAGCGTGGAGGTTCCTTACTCTGATCCATCTAAACGCAAGCCAAAGAAGCGACTGAAATAAAGATCAAGTCTGCAAGCCTGACGTTAAAAGCGCGTTTCTTGGTAAGTCATGTATTGTGTCTACTTAAGGAATACTTTGTGGGAAGGAGTCTTAAGTCGCTTTAATATCCGTGGAAATATGATCAACTAATTGTATACCATGTGTGTATGCTATCGGTAATGGCTACAAGGAAAGGTCAAAAGGCCATTAACAGGAGTCGTCCCTTTTTGGATCAAACTTGAAAGAATGACCAAGTGCGGCGCTTCCTCAAATACGCATACCTGCCAGACCTTTACCGATCATATCTTCCAGGATAAGAATAGGGTTGCACTAGGGTGGTAGTCTAAGAGACGGGTACAGACCTTCGGCGTTACAACCTTTAATGCTGCCTAGGCTACCAAGTTTTTCATACTTGAATTAGTTTAGTGCGTAAATAAGACAGAAGGGAAAAAGGAGGATTACTAACTTACCTCTGCCTTCTTTTTCTTGACTTTTGAAATCACTCCTTGTTTGCAACAGTCGTGACCACAAGTGCGTTTCATTAAGGGTATATAGCACATCAATTGAATCTTATAGTAACAAGCAAGAAAAGAAAATCGAACTGTAAAGATTAGTTTTTTCTAATTCAGACTTGTAACCTAACTGCTTCGTGTTTGATGGATTAATCTCGAAAGTCCTATCTCGGAATGATTAGAAGTTTTGTCCTTATTGACAAGACTTCAAAGACAAGACTATTCTTTGGTTTGAGCTAGATTGCCTACGATTGTATCATTTTCAAAACGTTCGTTCACTGCTCTGTTTTTAAAAGGATATGCGTCCTTATTGGAACATCGATGACTGCAAGGAACTCCGAGTCCTCCAGTCTGTGGTATAGAACTGCACGTGGACGCTGGAAATAACAACAAGAGTTGTCGCTCAATATTTAAGAAACACACCCATCCTCTCATCCGTAGTTACGTCCTAGTTCCATGGCCTTAAACCATAGTTATTCTGTCTCCAGCCACGTTCTCCAGGCAATCAGATTCATTTCGACTGATAATCAGACTTTCAAATAAATGACTCACTCAGCTCTACGATTAATTACACTACTAAAAATTTACTGTATAATTTATATTGTTTTACAGGCAACTTGATTCAGAGACAGACGGTCAACTCAGACTCACCTAAATTTACATTAGATTCAACCCTTTTCACATTCAGTGGATTACTTGCTTGTGATTCTCTCTTAACCTTTGAAAATAAAATGCGTTCTCAAGAAAGGATATATAGTAGCCATCGCGAATCGTTTGAACTAAGGAGTGATGTCATAAGTAATTGGAGCAAGCCTAGCACGGAATAGGAATTTTGTTGACAGTGACTGACTGACTGAAGTCACTGGAAAGACAGTAAAGAAATATAATTGTTTTTTATTCAATTCAGTGCAAGGTTAAGAAGGAGTATTGCGTACCACATTTTGTGATGAGCCGTTTGGGCGTGCGTGCCGGGAAAATTTGGTTTAATTAGCTAAAAGACAAGTTGATAAAACAAATTCGCCAACTCCCAGCAAAAACTCAAAAGCTGCCGTTTGGAGTAATAAATATTCTTAAGATGCCAAACGACTTCATCAGATTTCTGTTTCTTTATATTGCTTTGTACTTACGGTTAAGTAGGCCTGGCCTCCACTATAATAAGGGGAATAGGTTGTACTCACATCCAAACCAACTGAAAGTAAAGAGATGCAATGACTATCAGCAAAATTATGGACCTTAAGATCCGAGGACGGGCAACGGCGGCGAAATGTCTTCGCTCATCGAATTCAAGTTCTTTCAGTTTTTATCGCGGTTTATATTCCAACTCACTTCTTTGTCAACTCTCCTGGAGTTTATGTACTGGTCTCCTACGTCGTAGTTACGTATGCGCAGTGACGGCAAATGTATTGTTGTTTGGCTTATTATGGGTGGATTCATTTGCCGCCACGCGTATAGCCGTCGCATTTGCTAGTGAGGGAGGTCACGGGGTCAGGAGAAAAGGGGTGCCTAATGCTTTTTTCCCTAACAACTGAAATTAATTGTACGTGATACTGATTGATTAAGACTCGCAGTTAAAGTAACGATTATTATCTGCATATCTCGCAGTCGTTTACAAAGAAACATAGCAGTTTCCTCAGTCTTTGAAAGGGTAAAAGACAAAGCAACATGAAAAGAAGCAAGCCCATGGCTGATAGAAACCAAGAGTCATCTTCGATCGGTCTATGGAAGATGGCCGAGTCACTAAGACATTGCTGTATTAAAAATATCATTTGAATGAACCAAGGCAATGAGTGCTGTATATACACATATATCATTCAATTGGTATTACCATATTCTTGGCTAATGAGGTTGATGCTGAGCTCCGAGGATTGAACTTTTGTTCGCTGTACATCCACCCGCTTACTCCAGTACCCCTCCTTCATAAAAAAGGCGTCCCTAGTATCAAAATGGAATATAAAGTACTAAAAAAAAGCTCTTCGCAAACTAAGTATTAATAATAAATCAGTATAAATTTTGAAAAGGCCTGAGTAAGAGGAAAAATTTTCTCCTTCTCTAAGTTGGCTTACCCATATAAGCATGAGACGCTCACCAAATTCTAATCATAATGGCAGTAAAGCCACATTGTAGAAAAAAAAACGTCAATAATACAATTATGACTCCAGCTATTCGTGTGCCTCTTTCCTCATCCTCCTGTACTGGTCCTCATGCCTTTTCATCATCATAATCATTGTCGTCATTATCATTATCAGCATCATAAACACTATAATCACCATTCCATTTTTTTTTTTTTTTGCTTTTAACAGTCAGCCCCATTTCTTTCAGTGTTAATATCACTTAAAATCCAAGGTCGATAAAATAGCTTTCTTTGTCACCATCGTCCTTAAATAACATGAAATTACCCTAGTCTCTGTTTAAAAACCACTTTGTTATCTGCGTCAGAAACCAACAAAATACAAAAGTGAGTGTTCCTTCCTGTGCTGATCGCTTCTTTTTTTTTAAGGTAGTTCGTCATGGTTACTGTGACCACTATCTCTGCACGATTGGGTTGGTGTCTGCCAGCCTGTTTTATACAGAAGTTTCCATATAAATTAAACCGTTGTCAGAAAACTTCACTGTTGGTCATAAAGATAGATGTTATTTTAGGAATACCACCTATTACAGGTTCGATTAGAACGCGTACGATAAAAACGAACGTGCTTTTAATACACCCGTGAGTGCGAGTGGGGGGGATTTCTAATATGAATAAATTTAGGCAGGTGATGGGACCTTAATTTTGATTGTGAAATAATTTAAATTAGCCAAATGTTATTTTTACACACGGCTTCCTTGAAAAGCAGGTGTTTTCTTTTCATCTTGATTATTTTAGTTTCCATCTTATAATCTAGTTTAGTTAGGTAGTTAGTTTTCTATACCTGAAAGTAAATGTACCTGAAGCAAATACCGTGTATAAATGAAGTTACCATACCATACCATACCATGGCCTGCAACTATGGTGGAAAACCGCAGACCAGTCAATAACACTACACCACCATTATTAGATATTTATAACAGTGTTTGTTTCTCCGGAGGTCAGTCTACTTTGGGTTGATATAAACCGTGACAGACAATAATGTGAAGCAAAGGGCGTTGTCTAAAAAGACAATTACGCAACTTGCCTGCTGAACGGAGAGTTCATACTTTGGAAGATTTGAAACTGCTTCTCGAATCTGCGATCAACAAATCAAAGTTTTTACAAAGATGAACTAACTTAACTCTACATCAGTCAGTAGATATCGTTTCTTTACGCACTTCAGATCGATTCATAGAATGAGGAATGAAAGTTTGCCTGCAATGTTGAGTGATAATGAATAATTTTAAAAAAGTTTCCCGGGAAATTAGTCAACCAAGCAGCAGTTACTAAACCTGAGAAGTGTATTTCAGCAATATGATCGTCACATCTTCTATATATCATATTCAAAGCTATTTGTTATACACATAAGAATTTACTATGAAAAGACACTTCACTTTACATCTGATTACCTGGCTTCCAAAGGGTGGATGGCGATTCACAATCTGAAAAGTAAAATTAATTGGCATCACAAATAATAAAAATAAATACTATTGGGCTGATTGACATTTCACTCCAAAATTCTGTACCATCTCTATTTCTCTAGGATTCGTCTCCTCGATTTTTTTGAAAGTTGTTAAACCAGCGTTGACCATCATAGTCGATAACATAGGCCCTAAAACGAAATGTATAGTAGAGCTCTTAGTCTTTTACTGTAAGAAAAAGAAGTTTGAATGTACTTCAATCACCATTTATGAATTCGAAACACGTATTGTGGTATATACCAATTTTCTCCAGTTGTCTTGAAACAAACTTTGAATTCTCCCACAATCTAACAAAACAACTCAAACATGTAAGGACAGTTTCAACGGTTTGTGTAGCATGCAATATTCGGCATTGATATCTTACAGTTATGCTTGTAATTACCTGGCTCTAATACACTTTGCAAGGATGATCGAGTTCTGAAGTGACAGAAACTCATTTTTCAACATTTGAAGCTCGGTCAAACCTGTAATGCAATGAGACAAACGCTTTCAGTGCCGCAAAGTAAACAGAACTCAGGAGCGATAGGGGGTGGGGGTGCATACTCAATTTACAAACCGAATAACGTGTAAAAATAAAACATTTTCACTAAATTAGAACGGTATTCGATCAAATCTTTAATTCGCCTTCAAGAAAACTTTCCAAAATCAGTATTTTATTCCGGCGCTGAAATTTTTTGAAAAGCACCTAGCCAACAATCAAGCTGGATACATTTTTTTTTCGGTATAGTTAGATATTCTGATTGGTTAATGACTTGCCTGCTTCCAATGCAAAACAAAAGAAAAATGTCCTATATTTTGCTTTCACGATAGTCTACACCCTCCGAGACTCAGGAGCTGTCAGTCGGGTCGGAGAAAAGACGAGACGAAATTTTTCAGCTTGAAACCTTTCGTCGAGCCAGTCTCGACCAGACTGACTGCCCTTGGATCTCTGAGGATGGACAGTCGATTGTTTAGAAACAAAACTAATAACCACATATTTTTTTTTCACTTACAACGAGTGATTCTTTGTCCGGCTCGGAAGATTTTCTGAAGAAAAAATATGACGAGGAAAAACTAAATAAGTATAACTTTTACTGTCTCAAATGAAATAAATCCTGTCAGCCACTAAATTTTGACAGAATCGAAAAACAAGGTGAAATATGAACTGACCGTAACATCTTGACTTAAGGTAAAGTCTGTTATAGTAAGGTTACTAAGCGTCGCTTGAATGAGGCTGAAGATTGTAAATAAAGTGCTATAAGGAGGTTACAAGACAACAATAAAGACACACAGTCATGAAAGACTAACGTACCAGTTAACTTTTTGGTCCGTTGTCTTGATTTTTCCGTTAATTGGAAACCTACCCAAAAACAAGAGACAAAATGTTTTAAACACTTACCCACGGTAACACCCATTTCTATCCCTTTTTCCCTTTATGTTTGACAGCATTAAATCAGGGTTCCTTGATGGCTGTCCTAAGAGCTGAATGTTCTTCATTGAGACATGCAGCCCATACTCATAATTACTTTGTTCCCTCTAAATACAGGCGGCATTGTTTTACCTTATAGTTGGCTTGTTCTTGTCCTTGTTTAGACCATTCAGTGCTCTTTTTTCATTGACTCGTAGCTTAACATCTGAAAATTCCTTGCATTTCGAAACCAGCTCAACCTAAAATTTGTAACTGTAGGGTAACTCCGACGTGAAGTCAAACAAAAAAAAACTCTCAACAATAGATCGGTTAGCGCCAAACAATGTATTAGTAATTTAATTGATAAATAAAAGATTGGGATCTCTTCTAAAAAGCTCAGCAGAGCTCGCTGAGATCTCCTGCTCACGTATACTTATAAGAATACCAAATGTACAATATTAACTTTTACAATGATGGGCGAATAAATAAATAGCACGACAGAAGAAAAGCTACTTACCAAGTCACTAAGGCTTTCCTTTCCCTTAATTTCAAGAAACTCTTTCATTGAGTCATAGGCAATGCAGTACCTGGCCATCAGTCGACCTGCCTCTGAAATATAACAAAATATGAGAGGCAAGGATGATAAGTAAAAGATCTGAAAAAAATATCTGTAAGGGGGCTCACGAATGCAGCCAATCGGTATACAACACATGAACTCAAGAAAATGTTCACTAAATGCAAGAAAGAGCAGAGCATTCGAAAAAAAACTTAGTCTGGGTTAGAAATGATTTAGTTGCCCAATTTTCCTGCTATTCAATTTCTTACGGGCATAATCACTCCAGTTTGAAGATTAGAAACCCACCTGCGGGCTTCAGATCAAATCCATCGTCCATTTTTATAAGCCCTGCTCGCTCCAATGTGTTGAGGCTTTTCAAACAAATGTCTGTTTAAAAAGATGAAAAAATAATAAAAAAAGAGCATTTGACTGCGCCGGTCTTCGCCAAGACGCCAGGAAACAAACAACAACCATGACATCAAGAGGAAAAGGAATGAACCAAAAAACCATGATTTATAAGCTTCTATAGAAGTTAGCAACGCAAGCATATCGTTAAGGACATTCACAAGAATGAAAATGTTTTCTCTTCGCATGCTTGATATTATGTTGACGTCGGTATTCAATTGACTAGAGACTTTTATTCTCGCACTTGTTGTTGTGTTATGTCTGCGTCGCTAGCGAGATACAGACTCAAGTCATCCGTGTAGAAGGCGCCGGTTTATATACGTAGAGCGCAATTATAAGGCCGGTGCCTGGATCACTGCTAAGAAGTCACCTTGCAGTTTCTGTTCCAAACATTCTTTCTTCAGCCCTTCAGGAATCCCTTAGAAATCAAAGTGAAAATATCGTGTGAACAGCAATACTATATTATTGTATGCGCTCAGGTTGAAGGCTACAAATATTTACAAACAACGTAAGTTCAGGGGTTAAGACTTAATCTTATCCCTGAATCGAACAGATTATTCAACGTACCGTAATGCAGAGGATTTTTCAGTATCCTTATATACAGGAAGGTTGATTTCAGCCACTCTAGTGCAATAGTCACATCCGTGATTGTGTTGAGAACAATCTCTGCATTCAGATGCTCGATAAGATGATGGTGCAGGCTGGGAATAGTAATAATCATGGCATTGGTGACGTATCAGTAAATCCCTTTTCAATAACTGGAGGTCGCCTCAGCTTATAAAAATATGAAAACCACGCTGGTGGTCAAAGGCTGCCATGAAATGATGTATATAGCAACAAAAAAAAGTTTGAAAGGAGACAGCATGACCTAGCGGTAAGAGCGCTGGATCGGAACTGCAATCCAGAAACCCGGAGTTAAATCCCCGCTCTAACCGCCAGCTGTATTTGCTCTCGGTGGTCCCAAGTTCAAATTCTCGGTCACGCTTATAAATAGTCAACTGGTTTGCCTCGGCAAGTTGCGATTCGTAACCTTAAGGACCACAATGAATTCTTAACTTTTGCAAATTGCTGTGTTAACCCTAAAAAATAATCTTTTTTAGTTGGTGCTTTCGTCCAATCAGAAACAATTATATTGTATAAGAGAAAAAGAATCCAAACGTTCTGTCAGCTGATCTATCCATTTAGCCCTATGAAATCAAGAAAAGCACTAGTGTTCAAATATTTCAACTCACCTGCTCTCCAACTTCTGAGTTCCTTCAAGTAAACCGGTATATTTTTCCTGTAACACAGTTTAAATGAAGGAGATGGCTGTCGAACGGTGGGAATCATTTGACAACTTAGAAATGAATCGAAACACAAACTGACAGTATAGCACTGTCTTTTGTGAAAACAAAATCATGATATGGCAAACCTTGTTAGCGCTCGTTGTTAGAATGACCGCAGTTGCTGAGGTATCAAACTGAAAAAAAAAAGGTTTGGTTAATAGAAATGGCAAAATTGCCCTAAATCTACAATACGTCTTTTCAAACACTGTGTTTTAGCTCTTCTCTTTTTCCCGTTCTCGATATCTTATTTTGAATGGTCGCCTGTTTCCCCAGCTTTCCATAGTTGTCATCTCTACGAGTGCTCATCATGCAGCTTTTTAAAATCGTAGGAAAATAGATGAGATGTATATGAATAAGTAATAAGAAAATATTGCAAGTAAATAAGTAATTGTAAGACTACCTGTGGTCTTCCAGCTCTGCCAATCATCTGTAGAATCTGAGTTTCGGAATATTCCTGAAAAACTCCCATTACGTAATGGGCGGTAGACTTGATGACAACGAGATGTGCGGGAAGATTCACCTATCAAAATAACTCCTTGTTTTAAAGTGTTCTCGTCTTCTTAACTGCTAGCGAAATGAAGCAATAATGTTGAATGTAAAAACTTTTTGAACGTTGTCTTCGGTCGCACAAAACTAAGCGTACTCCACTATAAAACTTACCCCTACAGCAAGAGTACTGGTGGCAACTAAAGAAGAAAGACAAAGAAAACTTAACGACTGTTATTTGTGTCGTACTTTTACCCTTTACGTCTTTTTTCGAGACACAAAGGTTAATGCTTTAATCGCAGGAAGCTCTTTCCAACAGACAAAAAAGTAATGAAAAGAAAAAAATAAGACCAACTGCCGGCACTTACATAACACAGGTATGTCCCCCTTGATAAACATCGTCTCAACATTTCGCCTGTCAGTGGGATCTAGTCCTGCATGGTGATACCCAATCCCACATATCACGAGCTCTACAGTCAAAAAAGGTAATATAACGTATTAGAAACTTGAAGAACTTCACACGTTTATAAGCATCTCAACTTTGAAGGTCCCGATGGTCGGTGTAAGTTTTACTGTTGATCTCTGGTGCTTGTGGTGTGTTCAACAAAGTTAACACTACGTGGCTATTTTATTGGAGTGAAGTCATTCTTCACGACGCTTTATTACACTCAAGTGTAAGCAATGATAAACCCTACTTGGTTTATTTTGTCGAATGGTTTATTCATTTCACAAGACTTCGAATCGTTGCAGATCCGGAACTAACCTCTAAGTTTAGAATCATGAAGAGAGTTGGCTGTTCTTTGAAGCCTTCAGAGAATAAGAAAAAATACAGTTTCAAATAGGTAACCTATAATATTTGCTATTTATAGTTATTTTTCATTTAGACATTAGTTGATTAAAATACACGTAACTTTGAACGTTACAGTAATGCTTATGCATGCAATGGAAGATCTATTCTTAAGATCAATATGCTGACAAGGGAATTTTATGATAGTGACACATTAAATGGAACTGGGAGCTGACTATGATTCTTTGGCTGTGTTGCAGTTTATCTGGCATATCCTTTGTCTTTGAAATGATTCATCTACGTACCTTTGTCTATGCTGGGAGTTCATGATAAATCTTGCGTCTTTAACAAGCATCTGTGCTGCTTGCTGTGCACTTTTCCTTGTTGAGCAAAACTGACGAATAAAAGGGATGTATTAGAAAGCCGTTAACTGAATTGAACCTGGATGTAACAGAGATTCCATAACTGTAAGCAATGCAAAGAACTAGTAATAGAGTGATTTACTTGAACCGTGAAACAGATAATAACCGGCAACTAGTGCAAAATAGCTACAAATAAACGAAAGAAGACAATAGAATTAGTGTTTAATAGTGCGTAGTATTCTAATACCTATTTCACGGTTAAGTAAAAATCACTCTAGTTGTTTCTATGACTCCTAGAATAATTTTTCCATTCCAGGTTGTATTTTAGATGATATATCTTGTTCCATTACATTACGGTTTCCTATACACTATATATACTCTTTTACGACTGGACTGTCTCTATAGTGTCTCTGAGGAAGAACAGCAATTACAATCTCAATTCATCAATACAACCCATCGCCACTGCTTTGGCGCTTGACAAAAGAAACTAATTTCTTCTTGTAAGTTTAACTTACCACAAGTGTAGGCTTTCTATCCGAGTAAGTTTGAATGATACCACTTAGTTTATAGTTTAGTGACAAGTCAAAGCGAAAGTCGGAGAAATTACTTCCCTTGGGAAAACCAAGGACAACCTTTCTCAGCTTCACTGGTCTGTGAGAATCATCCATACTGTAAACAACGAAATACAATAGGGTAGCCATTACAAAAAAATGTCACTATATGCTTTAAGGTAGTCGAGTGGGATATCACAAGAGTGCACACGTTGCGTCATCCTCGGAGACCCGGGGGCAGATAGTGGGGGTGAGGGAAAGTCTAAACAAACGGAAAAATATGGCACAAAAGAAAAGTAAAGAACGGCCAGAAGAGCCCCTGGGGACAATGTCTTACCAGACCAGTTCCAAACGGTCGCCGCCATTCTGGCTTCTGATTGGTGCCAGAAAAACACAAGTTTTCTGGCACCAATCAGAAGCCAGAACGGCGGCGACCGTTTGGAACTGGTCTGGTAAGACATTGTCCCCAGGGGCTCTTCTCGCCGTTCTTACTTTTCTTCGTGCCTTATTTTTCCCCCCGTTTAGACTTTCCGTCGCCCCCCATCTGCCCCTGGGTCTCCGAGGATGACGTTGCGTAGTCTCAGAGGAGACGATTTCTGCGTGTTCTGTGTGTACCTGTGAGAAAATGAGACTCTGGTTACCTATAGCCGGTTACGACCATCGATAACTTTCGAAGAAATTCGCGAAGTAGCATTCAGTAGAAATCTCAGGAAATTGGCTCCAGCATATCAGATGATCCAATATAATGTAACATCGGTTCTTTACATAACAGATTTTTACCTGTAGTGTGAAGCTGGAGAGTCAATTCCTCCAAGCCAAGCAGCGATCTGGCGAATCAGAGAATAAAGTATAGGTCAGACAAATTAAAATGATGACCAGAGCTCATGTTACAACACAAAGTTGAAAGCCACACCACTACTTAAGGAACCCAACAAAAGGTGCCAAGGGCTAGTCTCTGGGCGGCGTTAACACAAAAATGAAAATTGAGTATTATTTTCCTCTCGACTTACATCTTCAATGTTTGGTATGGTGGCTGAAATAGCTATTAACCGCATGCCCTCTCTGTTTGGACTGACAGTGTTATTTCGAGTCATGGTAGACTGAACGGTCTTCATGCGACTTATGACTGCCTCGACTGTAGCTCCACGTGAGTCATCGTTCAAAAGATGAACCTGTGAACATAAAGGGGTGATGTGAGAGATACGTTCAGGCAGGGCAACTTCTCTGATCTGCCACTGAGTCATGTGTTCTATTCAGTTTTGTTTTCCCACTGATCCAAAAGTCGGAATCCTTGCTCCCTATACTTTCATACCGATGCTTCCTATAATTTGCCTGCAATAATAAAAATTAGGTAATAAAAACCTAACTTGGGTCACATTGCCCGTTGCTTTCCTTCTTCCCTTCCATGTACATGTTGTTGAGCAATGTTTTCTTTTAGTTCGTTCGTCGCAGTTAGATCAGAGGGGAAAAAGGTCGAGCACAGCATGTCTACGTTAACAGCATGTGTACGTTAATCAATGTCAAGGACCTAAGTTGTAATGTCACGCGTTGTGGGTCCCGTCTCACTGCTATCTCAGTACTTCTAGAGTATAACCTGATGTCAATATACATTGGAACTTGTTCAGTTATCTAAGACAATTTGCCCAGGTTTGTATACTGTAAAAGTGTGCTAACCTCGTCAATAAGAAATAGTCTGACCGATTGAACCAATGACCTGTTGTCTCTCCATTTTCTTGTCATGCTGTCCCATTTCTCCTGTATATGAGAGTAGACAGTTTGATATACACCCATAAAACACAGAACTACGAAACGTTACGGAGAAAGAACCCTGGTATAGGAGGTCAAGACTCAAATGAACGGTTTGATCTAGATTATAAGTTGACATGTAGGGTACAAATTTCAGTTCTAAACACACCCTTTTTTCTGATCCATGTTAACAGAAACAAGCATTGGTGAATGCTGTGAGCTTGGTCAATTCCCTTGTTCCACGATTTCGCCAATATATGCCTTTTTTTCTCACAGCACAGTGCATCACCCTATTGATACTTTTCCGAACCAAACCCCGAGCTTACCGGTGTGGTCATGATAATATGGACATTCTGGAGTTCATAGTAGTCGTCCAACTCACTGTCGCCCGTCACTTCTTTACACTTTAATCCGAATGGTTCAAATTTGTCTTTCCAGTCCATGAAGCGCTCACTACACAACGCCTTCATTGGAGCCACTATAAAAGAAAAATAGATACAGACGCATTGTGAATCTTTACTTGCGCGAGTAATAAAACTCTATGTTGTGACACTTGTTCCTTAAGGCTCAATAATGTATTATGAGAAAGAATCTAGAATTTATTTCTATTAAGATAAGCTAAATATTGCTTAAACCTTACTATTACTGACTTATTGACAACCGGCGTTGAAACTGCTGGCTTAATACTGCTTCACGTTAGTATGCTTTTAGTTGAATCTTCAATTGCTTAAACACTGGTTAGTCAACGCCTTATACCTAATGATCATGAAAGATGCTATCTTTATCCTGGTTTGTGTATTATAAGTTCGCTTTTTCGATTATCTTGCTATAGTCACTTTGTTATTGATGGCAATATTTATCTGTTTGACTGCTGGTTTTCATCAGACGATGGTGTCCATTGGCTGTCCTGATCTAAGGGCAAAACTGATCAAATCGATTGATACATCTCGATCCTTACTACGTGTACACGTGACTTACTGTAAACAACTTTAGCCTTTGATGGGCCTGTTCCAGAGTTCATCAACTGCCGTATTATAGCTAGTTCAAAAATGACTGTTTTGCCAGATCCGGTTGGCGCACATACAACCATAGGTATGTCTGTGTACATCACCTCTTCAAACACTTTGGACTGGACGATGTTGAAATAGGGAAATTTACTAAAAACGGAACGAAATGGATTAGCTAGAATTGTTAAGGAAAACGAAACAGCATCATTTAATTAGAGGTACACAAAATGTATATTTGGTTAATTGACGGATGCCGCGATACTCCTTATCACTATTTAGTATCATGTCGTGTGAGTCAGAAAGTCAGTCCTACATTCAATCCGACATTATCCAAATAACTTTTAAAGGATACGTATTTCATTGACAGATCGAAGTCCAATCACGGAACTTGCGTCGCTAGATTCATTTCCATAAGCTGCAAAAGATACATAGATTGATTCAGTTCTATCGGTAATTCTGAGCGGGGTATATTTCAGTAGATCTCCCCCGAAAGCTGATACTTAAGTAGGAGCTTATGGTCTCCTGACCTAAAAAAAATAGTGAACCCAAAAACTGTGGATCACCCGAGGTTGCGACACAGGGAATCCAAAGCAACAACCTTAACTTCTCTTGTATTAATCATCAAAAAAGAAAACTCCAACTAGACACATTATTTTCATGGTATTTTACTAGGATTTTGTCGTAGGCAGTATGAACAGGGTGAAGATATTTAAGAAGATTTCAATGTGAGATACTTTCACTACCTGGTATAACGAGCTGTCCTGGAGTACCAAGGTTGTATTGTGGTTGTAGAACTTGATAGGACGCTTGGATCTCTTCACGATCCAGGTCATAGTCATTCAAAGCTAACCCTGTCAAGAATTAAAGTACACTTCTAATAAATGAACGATGTATAAGTGTAAGTGGTCACTGGAGTATGATGGATCCTGCGACAGGTTTTTCAACCTTTCAAAATCATTAAAACTGCCAAGTGTGGGGACAATTTGTTCGAAAAAACTAACGAAGAATAGCTCCACAAAGTCGCGGAATTTTACAGACGTTTGTATGATAGGGGACAAGTTCGTATTCCCACCATACAAAAGTGGCCCTCTTTCCAGCGGTGTCCATGTATTCGCTGTACTGCTCTTTATCAAAAGTTAAAACAACCTTAGAGGTAGTCTTTTGTTAAAGAACTAGAGCCTATTTCTACTTCTTGGAAAATGAATGCCCTTAGAATTTTCTAGTCAGCAAATAGTAAACTATTTAAACTAAACTTGAACTAATGGAGATATTATGGTTAAAAATAGAACAGAACTTAATTGCAAGTATGATAGAGAAAAGTTCTCGCGACACGCGGAAATAGCTCGTGACTTCTTGAAACACACACAGTTTACAAACTTTATAGGCCTCAGCTGTAGCCTGTCTGCGCAGACGTCTTATAATTCCGACAATGGAAAAATGAAAGAAAGCGTTCGCGCACATGCAGGTTAAACTAATACGCTTTGCACACGTTTGCTGTTCTACCTTCTGAATCTTTAGAAAGGTCCGTGTGAAAGTCACTTCGTTGAGAGAAAAGTTCAGGGGAGTCATGCAAAATATCATCCCCTCCATAATCATCTTCATCGTCAATGAACAGCGACGGCTGCGAATATCTTGAATTAGAAATATGTGCTTCACTAGTTATCCATTTATCATGGTTCTGACTCGAATGTCTATAACTGCTGTGCAGAAATGATCTTTCGTTGTCAAGCAAGTCGGCTGCTGTCGAGGTACCAATGCTTGCTGCATTGTTGAAGAACTCAGAATTTGAACGGAAAAGCTGCGTGGATGGGAAATCTCTTTGAGACGTTTGTGAGAGTATGTCATCCAGCATTGGTGGTGATGGAAGTGCTATTTGAAGAGATCTTGATGAGGCTTTAAATGGCGGTCTGCAAGATGATAATCAGACGGTTAATCAGAGGAGTTCTTTTGAACAGAAACGGCTGCTGGTTATTGGCACCTTCCTTGAAACCTCTCTCTTCCCTCTTCTATCGATGGGATGTATTAAAAAATGCTAAAATATCAAGTTCTCATTGTCTCTAACTGTGAAAAAATAAATCTATTTCCTCGTGATATGCGTAAACATAAATCAGTTATTATAAAGCAAAGGATTAAAGAAGCCTGGTTAAAGAATCAATAAAATGACACGAACTTTCAACGTCAATATTCCCTGCCAGCAGAGGCTTTTTTTCCTGGTATTCGGCGGGCTTAGTTATTTTTCGGAGGAAGAGAGGCGACGACCGGAAACTCGTCTGCGCTTCGCAGGCTATCGGCGGGCAGGATCACTAGAGAAAAGAGGCCTCTGGCAGCAGGGAAACGTCAATAACTAGTTATAATTGACCATGAACGCGAAAAGACGAATTATTCGTCCACAAAGTTAAAACTGACTATATGAAATGAATGGTTATTGTACTCACACAAATCCTCGCTTGGCATGTCTGCGTTGGGACGATTGAAGACCGAATTCCATGAAAATGGATCAAAACGCGTTTCAGCTTTATGACGCTAAACAAGAACCTTCTTCCTGAATTAATGAAATAACAGCATTAATGCCTCACCGGAAATATAGGAAGACATTAGTTGGTCATTTTCAAATAAAAAATAAAGTTTACAGGTTAGACTTTTTTAAACCTTAACTAAGCTTGAGCTAAGCTAAAATTAAATGTAAGCCTATAAAAAAATAATAAATTATCACGAGTCTTCATTTCCAAAAAGACTTCATACGCCTGTTTTATAATCGCTTTACAATAACCTACTACACAGAACAGGAAACTCTTTGAACTTATTAAATATGGAGATTGTGAAAAGCAGCAAAATGTAGCAAATTATGTTGGCACATGGCAGATGTGGTAGCAAATTTCATGGCAGCATGAACTCTCAAAAAAAGAGATTTAAAACTAAGGTTTGGAGATGAATATTCAACATAATTTTTACCATTTTACTTACCTTAATCACGAGCGAATTCTTTTTAAGCAATAACCGGTGGCTTCTGTAATTTCATGTTGCTTTAAAGTCGAAAAATTACCGCAAAAAAAAGGAACGTACATAACCAGTGAAGTTATAAAACATTTTCCACCATACCAAAGTTTTGGCGGGAAAATTGGGCACCGGTGCGACGGCAGCTCTCGTGACAAAATAAACTATGGGGGTGGGTAGGGTCAAGGGTAGGGTGGGAGTGAGGAACGATTGAATGAATCAAAAGGCTTCTATATAAATATCATCATCATAGAACGTTTTAATTTGAAGAGATCAGAGGAAAGTAAAAACTCTCAGACGTGAACATGATGTCGATCTTTGTCATGTGTCGTTTTTCCGATTTGAAGCTTGAAGTCTGTGGAATCTACTGCATTTTCCATTGTGTGAGAGAAGATACGAAAGCCGCAAAAGTTAGGCCTGATCTCAGATTTATACTTCTGACAGGCAGTCCTTCTGAAGACGCAATGTTATCAAGCACAGTCCGCAACACAAACAGAAGATGGCAAGGCTCCGTTCTTAATTCCTTGGAAATAAAAACCTAAGGGGTGTGGCCAGCTCAGATGTTGGCATCGGCGCAAGAACTGCGATCGCCGAAAGCGGGAGCTGCCAAGGGGGATCTAAGGACATGTACCCAACCACCCCCGCCCGCCCCCTCAAAAGTAAAATTTTCAAATCTAGAAGCCCTTTTGCCTCTTGCTACTGTGGCTACGACTGCGCTATTTTAAATACCGGTATCTATTCAATAGACCGCGGCGTGCGGACTGATCCTTCTAAACGGCAAGGCCCTATATGCCACGAAAAGAAGTTGATTTCCATTTTAAAACTGGTATAAGAGAAAGCAGACACATATTAAACGGAAAATGAACGAATAATCGTTGGTTTAAAACCAAGTTGTCACCATTTATTTCAAAATCTAAATACACAAGACTTGAAACGATTCCCATTGCATTGTATTTCTCCACCAAAAAATAAAAGAAAGGTTACTCATTGGAAAGTTGCTATCACAATGTGCTCATCTTGGCAAGGGGAGGCAGAAAAAAACAGCCGCTTGTTCTTGCCCTCGCACATAAGAGATCATCGATGATTTTCTGTGTACTCTCTTCCCTTCAAATTCATTTTCCAGCGAGCTTTTAGCTCATACTTCTACGGTTTTGCATCTTGAGGAGCCTATGGGAGAAAAATAATACTATTTATAAAGTATGAAAATCTATAGATTAGTACAAGCTCTTTGACTGGTCAGTTTAGAGAACTATGTCTTTCAGCCCTATAATGACCGATTCAAACTACACAGTAAAACAATGCATTTTGAGAGTGCTTGCATGGGAACACTTCCTGGTGGATTTACTGTGAAGGTACACTATTAAAATAGAGGGTTCAGTCTACAAAAACAACTAATCTTCTCTCAACAGAGTTCCCCTCTATTTTTTTTTTTTCATAACATGGACACCTCCCTCCATGCATAAAAGAGGGCTGTCAACCCCCAACATCTTCAAATATTGAGAATTGACAAGGAAGGGATAATAGATGATGTCATAATGCACGAAACATGAGGTCATTTGTGCAAAAAAAAACATGCGAAAAAGATGTTGTTGGAATTGTGACATTTGTACCTGATTGGGTTTACTTCCCACCAATTACATTAATGGCATAATAAGGTTTCTGAGGAAACGTTGAATGTTAAAAGTTAAATAGCTCAAACAACGCAAAACATTTTAAATTTCATTGACAGAAAGTCGAATCTACAAGAAATAGCAAACTTCTGCAATTATCCTGGAGATTTGAGACTCTAATCTGGAGACTGGGAGAAATGATTCAGAAACGGGAGTCTCCCAGATTATCCGGGAGAGTTGACAGCACTGATAACAGAACACTTAATTTTTCTCAAGGATACTTAAACTGTACAAGACTCTATGCCATTTTCCCCCGACCTGACATGAACTGAATAATATATAGATTCTAGCACCATAAAATCAATTATCAGAGCTACATACAGCAGGGTCTACATTTTCTGCAATAAGGACACTTTGCTCTGTCTCTAAACTAGCCCATAAAGGGACATTTCAATGTAATATTTCACTATTATTGTAGTTTACACTCTTTAATACAGTGACCTGGAAGCTTTCTTAACGGACACTCTTGTAAGCAGACAGCTGTACTTACGGCTGCCTTCACAAAACCCATTTCAACTCCCATTCAAACTCTGTATTTTTGTATTCTTGTTAGCAGACGTTCCTTTAGGCAGTCATGGACACTTTCAGGGTTTACGGGTAAGATTAAAGCTTTGCTTTTATGCTCCTGTAAGCAGATACCTCAAATGAAATCTCATTTGCCTCTGAAATTTGTATTATTTTTAATAAATCAACTTCGTACCGCTGATCATCACAATGAATTTATATCAGTTTCACTGTTTTCTTTTTACATACACATCAGGTGTAATACACTTCATAACACCGCTTGAATTTTATACTTGTGCGGACTGAATTAATACAATATTGTCAGAACACAGTATAGCCAAACACTTACAAACAGATTTTTGCATTTCCAATGTTTATTTGTTGCTGGGCAAGCTCCTGTAAGCAGACCCTTAACCTTTAAATTCCTAGTGGCCACTTATGAAAACCACTCTTGTAAGCGGTCATCTCCAGAAACCGACCCTTTTTTGCCTCCCGAGGGAGTCCGCTTACACCCCGGGTCAGCTGTCATCAAAAAGTGATCTGTTTCAAACTAGTTTTTCAATTTTTAACTGTTTGAGCTGAAACTTTGCACGATAATAGAACTTTGCATTCCCAACAATCATTTGTTTTTGGATTTTTGATTTTAATCGTTTTTGGTGGGAAAATGATGTCATAAGATTGACAGCAAAAAACAGTTTTCGACTTATGGCATAACAAAGTAGAACTTTTAAAAGATCTCACAGAGATGAACCCAAATATGAAAAAATTATTAATTTTGTAAAGCTTAATTGGTTGAAAAGTTCTTGAGCTGTGAAATGTGTATTTTCCGCCATTTTGCTACTATTATTTTTTAGAAATTTGGTGGTATTCAGAATGTCATATCTTCGCAACCAAATGAGGTTTTGAAAACATTATTTCACATTTAAGTTCTTCCCTGAGTACTCTTTCAAAATTGCTAACCTGATATGGCATAAGTTGGAAGTTATGTTTTACTGTCAGTCTTATGACATCATTTTTGTGCCAAAAAAACCGTTAAAATCCAAAATCCAAAAACATAAATAATACAAATACAAAGTTCTACAAAAATTGTATTATTGCGCAAAGTTTCAGCTCAAACGGTTAAAAATTAGTTTGAAAGAGATCACTTCTTGATGACAGCTAACCCGCCATGTTACGAGAGCTTCCACTATACCTAAAACTGGAAGTAGATATCTTATGGCAGCAAGAATGCAAACTCACCATTTGAGACAACTCCACACACTTTAAGAAATCCCTGACTTGTTGTGAGCACTTGAGAGCCTGTGTTGGGTTCTGTTTGTAGCAGTTTAAGACTTCATTTTTCAGGTGCTGACAAGCTGCAACCTTTGTTGGTTGGCTATAAAAAGAGTGTGTGTAAAACATCAGGCCATTTTTTTGTACTGACCGTCAGAGTACTATTACTCCCTCAAGTGTGTACGCAAAGTATGTGAGCAAATTGAGTGAGCAAGCAAGTAAAAAAACTGCAACTTGAAGAACAAAGTGGAAAAGAAACCCTTAAACAGCCCCCTAACTGGCTTCCTAAACAGCTTATCAACTCCGATAGCTGATTGTCAAAACCTAGATCTTTACTTTTTTTGGCAAGCTGGTGTGTCATTCTCACAATACAAGATGAGAGCAAGGAAGAAAATATTATTGTAATGAGGAGGAAGTGTTAGTGTGGACCAAATGTCTCAATTTATTACAAGTACTTCTAATGATAGCTACCTGAACTTTTTCTTTGTTTCTTCCACAGCTTGATTAAATTTTTCAATTGTGATTTCTTCCTTGTCTGCAACCTAAGACAACCAGATCAAAAAACATAGTTAAACCTAGTTTTTCACATCTTCAGTAGCAGTAACAGCTGATTTTTCCTCAATACTTTGATTAGAAATATATGGGACAAGACAGGACAATTTTAAATTTGATATTAGGGAATTCAAGAGTTAAGATGCCAGCATCATTTTTTTTATTCATAACAAGAATTCTATGCTTTAAATGCACTTACCTTTTCCTTCAGTACACTTATTTCTTCCAGAAGTTTATTTTCTCTGGCTTTTGATTCAGCGTCTTTCTTTTCCAAGGATTGTCTCCAGTGATTTTCTATTTCTGGGGCATCTTTATCTCCTAGTTTCCCCCTGTTTTCCTGCCACCTCCTGGCTTCAGTCTGCCTTCCCTACAAACAGTAACAACTTTCTTTTTGAAAAGCTCTGACTAGTAAACAAGTTGAAAGTTAGTGCATTCTACAAAATGCACACTCAGCTCTTATTAAACATGGCCTGAGGGCATATGATTTTGAGTTAATGTGACTTTCAAAAAAATGTTAGTTTCAACTTTCAACTTTATTTAAATGTGGATATATATATTACAAAAATACATTGGGACTGGCCTGTAGTTAGCAAGGCCATATAAGGCAGGCAAGGCTAGATAATTTACTACAAACTGGATAAATAAAAAGAAATTAGACGTTATATAAGTATATATATTTTACAGTAAATACATACTATTCTACTTAAATACAAGGAAAACATTGGAGTGAATTTTAAAAAATAAAATGAAATGAAAATAATAATTATAAGGGACAAGAGAATTACTTTTTCATTTTCACAATAATCGTATCTACATCAATATAGGAGTCTTCAGTTTGAAGGATATCGAGTAGCGTTGCTTTTAATGATCTTTTCGGTCTTGCTTTAAGAATTTGAGGTATCCCATCCCAAATTTTGATCCCAACACGCCAGAAAGTTTCTTGATATAGTTACAAGAATGCACTAAAGTGCACGTTGCAAAACTACAACAACCCTTACCTCATTAAATGCACCCTGCATAAACTCCTGAAAATGTTCATGCTGATGTTTTAAGCGTGCTTTCTCTTGCTGTAATTCACCCCACAAATTGTTGATGTCATCTTAAGGGTTAAAAAGATTAAAACAACACTATCATTAGCTCTACGGTCTGATTTATGGGAAAAATATAACTATAACATTTGTCAAATCCATAAACCAGTATTGTGTTATAACTTATTCCAGAAAAGATTCATATTGGTACTCTTCCATGAAAGATTTAAACTCCCTTCTTCTCACCACTGAAACTTCTGGCTTAGGATCAAACTTTCCTTTCAAAATTCTGATCTTTGAGCTAAGATCCTTCCCCTCTCTTGAAATTTCCAATGGTCACGGGGTGAGCATGGATATTTTCTGAAGCCACAAATTTGGGGACGTTGTGCGTTCATTGTTGCCTGGGAACCCATGTCCCACAAATTGCCACATGACATGACTCCCGCCTGAGCAGCTGCGAAGGAGACTACATGACAATTATTATTATTATTTCCTTTCCTCATTTTATCACTGATCTTTTTCTTCCTTCATATTTCATCACCACATCCCAAAGATAATTATAGTGTAGGTTGCATATTCCTGATCCGACAGTTTGCTTTGAGTGGACCACTGCATACAAGGGTTTTTACTATGTGCAAAAATAACACTAGTACTGGCCCTGCTCAGCCTGAGTTCTTCTGTCGTGTAATCTGTAGGAAAGCTTAACAGAATTCAAAATTGTTGGTTTTGTTTGTACTGATTGAACAGTTGTTTTTGAAAGAGTAGGTCACTGTTGGCTAACATTGTTCCCATGGCCTCTCACTCAAGAGAGATCCGGGGAACCTGTTCTCTTTTTTTGCCGGGGGGGGGGGGGGGGTGATGCAAAAGGGGGGTTCCCAAGGTTTTAAATTTCCCCGGGTTGGCAAAAGAAAAATTTTTTTCTAGTCAAGAAACCAGCTTAAAAGGAAAAACCCCATGCCTTTTTTTCAAAAGGGGCCCTGGGGGGGAAAAAATTTTTTAAGTTTGCCGGTGTTTTTCCTTTTCTAATCTCCTTTTTCCACCCTTTACGGGGTAAAAATGTTAAAATTGTTGGTTTTGTTGGTATCGTTTGATGGATTGTTTTTGAAAGTGGAGGGCACGGTTGGTTAAGCTTTGTCCTATGGCCACTCACTGATGAGGGGTCGGGGGAGCCTGGTCTCTTGTTTGGCGGGGGGGGGGGGGGATGATGCAAAAGAGAGATTCTCAAGATTTTAGATTTCCACAGGTTGGCATAAGCAGAATTTTTTTCTAGTCACGAAACCAGCTTCAAAGGTAAAACTCCATGCCTTGCTTTCAGAAGTGGCTCTGGGAGTGAAAAAGTTGTCTAAGCTTAGCAGTGATTTACCTTGACTAATCTCCTTTTCATCACCTTTCAGGGGTAAATCCTCTAGGCCTCTCAAGCGTCTTACTACTCTCTCTGACACCTAAAAAATTTTGAATCAACTGCTTTATGTTCGCGAAAAGTAAAATTATCACTCAACATAGCTTGATATCATTTCACCCTCCAGAAATCGAAGATATTGCTTAGGGCTTAGTGTGAATTCCATATGATTCCTTTGTAGAACCTACCCTTATAATTCCCGCACTTTCATCCTCCTCTGATCTCTTAACGGACAATCTTTTTGTTGATTCACCACTCCCCATGTTATTTTCAACGAGTGTTGTCCAAAACCTCTTTAACTTTCTTCATGAAATTTTCCACAAGTGTCCGCCATGATGGATATCAGTGTGCGCCCAAAATGCTAGGTGCACAGCGGATACATGTTGCCATAACAACGATCTCCACAAGAGAAAGACAGACTGAAATGGTTCGCGCAATTTGCGCTCTAAGATGTGTTTTTAGTTAGAAAAACTTTATTCTTTCCTGATCATATTTTGATTTCCTCTTCAAAAAATTGCGCGTCGCGATGAGCAACTCTAACCCTCTGCGGACCGACGCTTGTATGAAGCGAACGGTAAGTATGGAGACAGTTTTGCGACATCATGAAATTCAAGAGAGAAAACTACAAGGGAAGCGAGAAGCATATAAAAGACGAAATGATACGTACGTCAAAGCTATGTACGGTAGTCCTCAGGACAAAGAAGAAGTCAGGTGAACAAGTTTACGTTTTATAAACACTAAAAGGTTTATAAACTCTTTGAATATTAAAGGGTGACTTAAACAATAAATTGTCAATAACGTCCATCACCACAAGTGCTGATGCTTGTTAGACTCCAATTAACAGCTGTTTTTCATTTAAACATAGACTGCAAAATATACTCAAAATAACCAAAATATAACTGCAAAATTTTCATTACTGGATACAGCATTATTGAAGTTCTTTCCTGAGACTGATTTCGGTCTATTTTAATAATATATTTAACTTGTAGATTGTGGGTTGATAGATTGCGGGCGCGTCCATTCAACCAAAATTCCAACCGGTCCGACCGGGAAAAGTGGTCCACCTCAAAAGGTGACCCGTGTTTTCGAAACTTTTCCGGTTGGACCGAACCGATCCATTGAGTTTTGGGCCGAAATTTCCGGAAATTTTGGTTGAATGGATCGCGCCCTGCATTTCCCGAGTCCCATCGCTTTTCGAGTACAATCGAGCAAGCATATACCACGCCAGGGCCAAATCATCCTCCAAATTGCTGGGCAAAGCGTGACAATTTTGGTTAATTTACAATAACTTTGTTGTCTCTATCTCTGATCTTTCCTTACCAAACTTGGCCTGAAAATAGAAAATATTGAGATAATCAAATTGGCATACATTTTATCATCAAAATGTCAAATTATGACGTCACTTTTGCTGACGTCATTCATACGTAAATTTTAAACTTTAAACTCTCTCCATCGTTTATGAAAATTTGAAAGAACTATTCAAGGGAACGGAAAAGTATGGTTCCAAGGGGGGGAACTGAAATACGTTTAAAGTCCCATAACTCAAGTTTTAAATGTCATGGCAAGAAATGGTTTTCAGCCTTTTACTCCCCTTCTAATTCTCTTTCAAGTGATAGAAGTAAATGATATATTGAAATTTGAAAATTATGTCAGCAATTGTGGCGTCATAATTTGACATTTTGCGTGAGACAAAAACGTTAAAATTATCTGGTCAACAATCAAAGTTTATGGGGGCATTTACACAAGAGGCACTTTATATTGATATTAATTTGAGAGAAGGCATATTTTAGATCATCCTATTCATGATTTATAGATTCCTTTGTAAAGTGCCATGAGCCCAATAATGGATATGGTGCTGATTATAAATGCTTTGATTATAATTTTTTACATGTATTAATATATTGTATAGTAAGCTATCCATTGAACACTATGAGAACACTTAAAAGCAACCACTATTATTGCATCTTTAAAACTCTCAGGCAAGATGGCAGAACAGCATTGTTACAACAAATGAAAGAAAAAGAACTAGCTGACAAAAATGCCATGGCTGAAAAGACAAAAGAGAGTGACTTCGCAATCAGTTATGACAGGATCTGCATTGAACAAGACAAAGAAGACAAAATCAACAAAGAAAAATACCTACAGCAGTTCAGGAATGAAAATAAAAGGGTACTAACATTGTTTAATTTTTGTTTGTTCAAATTTTCTGAAGAACAGCTCAACCAGTAGCTGTATATCAGAAAATTAACTTCAAGATTACTTTGGTGTAGCCTGAATTTCATCCCATTACTTTGAGTTGTTATTACTCCTTGAGAGGAGAAAACGACTCGAAGCAATCGGATGAATTTCAGTGTAACTTTGGTGTTGAAAATGCTGCAACTATAATCTGGTAATAGTCATTTACAGACTGTATCTTAAGCCACCTTCTCAACTCATGACTTGCACACCTGTGCTTCAAACATGGCATCAACTCAACTACATGGAGTATGATGTCATAAAACGTTTTTCTTTGAATACTGATTGGCTCATAACCATCATGTATTATCTGTTACATTATTGGCCAGCGCTACCAAGAAATGTAATTTTATTGTTTTGAGGTGAAAGCCATTCATTCCAAAAAGGAGGCAAAGTCAATTAAAAACATTCAAAGTCCGTTTTATTTTGTGATGTACTGAAAACAAGTGACATCATGCAAAAGATCAAGGTTCCTTTAAATGTCAAGACTGAGGTTCCTTTGAATGGTGACACAACAATTATTTTAGCCTACACACAAATAAAAAGGCACTTGATAAGTACAATACTTTTTGCTGTAGTGACCTTGGAAAAGTCTGAAAGTCAAGAAACAAACAATCACCACTTTAGTAAATATTGGGGGCATTTTTGTTTTCTCTTTCACAGCTGATGGAGCTCCGTGCCGAACAGCAGAAAAAAGATAGATGTGCAAGACATTTAGAAGAAAGAAACCTCCTCCAGCAAAGTCCGATAAATTGGAGCCATACTCTTCACTAAGAAATAAATTGAAGTATTATTAATTTTTATTAATAGCTGAAAAATCATGGTTTTTACAATCACTTAAATCAATTCCAAAAAAACAACATAGGATAGGTTGTGTACATTCTGCTAAAATTATTCAGATTTTGATGATACTTAAGATGTGTGTTTATAACAGTTTGTTAATCAAGTAATAGGAAAAAGAAATTTAAATTGGCACTTATGATAATATAAAACAATCAAAATACCACATTGCATTAATAATTTTTTTAATGTCTGGAATGTTCTAATCAAGTGATTAATATTTTGAATGCACAGTAAAACAATAAAACAAAATTATCTCCTCACTCATAAAGTGGAACCTCAATGTGTACAAACTTGAGTTCACAAACTTTCAGTTATACTATGACGTTAATCATAACCTACACCTAGCCCTACAAAGGGTTTTTTGGGTTGTCAATTTCTTTTATTCACCCTCTACACATTGCCCATAATACACCTTGTTTGTTGGGGTATTACAATAATTGTCCCAAGGTGTACAAGGGAAATGTGAACATGGTGAATCATTCCTTTTTTTTATTTTGACGAATTTCGTTGTGTGATGCACAGTTCTTTTAAAAGCATTTTAAGAAATTCTGTACAATACAGCAGACACGGATAGAGCTAAATGTTTCATGCTTTCATGCTGAACTCCACTACTGCTCAGCACTGAAAATGAAGGTGTCATTCTCCCACTGCTGTGGTGAAGTAGTATTGCTGTCATAAATAATGGCAGTGACACTGGATAATACAGTACTGCAAAAAGTTGAAGGAAGAATGAATGGAACATTGAAATGAAAATTCCATGCTGAATTGTTCTGCTCAATAGAGATGGCTAGACATTTGTCCTGGTTGCCTCTATAATGTTATCTATCCTATATCCATACTGGGATCTTCCTGTTCCTCAAGTGTCTCCTTTGAAGATCCAGCAACCTATAAAATACAGATAAATTATTAATAAAAACAACACATGTTATATTCAGTTACCCTATTATGCTGTGTATAAGCTTAAGGGTGGGTTTACTATAACAATACATACACAAATAGCCAACACATATGTCCAGTGGAACTGATGGCTATAGGCATATGTTGCAAATGAATCGACCCTATTTGGTAGTCTCTGGTTTGCTTTTCTTTGTTCCAAATTCATTTCCATAAATGTTGGTTCAAGAGGTTAAGAAATAAAACTGATTTGAAAATGCTATCACCTCTGCCCTTATGTCCGGCCACACCCACCTCCCAATCCCACTCCCCCAAAATAAAATAATTATATTAGAGATGTTCAAAGATAAGTGCAACAAGTTAGTAAAAGAGGTTAAGAAATCAAACTGATTGGAAAAGTTTATCAACTCTGCCTTATGTCAGGCCACAACCACCCCACCAATCTCATTTCCCCCCCTCTCCTCCCAAAAAAGATAAGTTCAAAGATAAGTTAGTGCAATATGCGTGCAGAAGTTAATGTATTTAGTAATAGTGAATTGTCATTTTTTGGGTGCAAATTGATTGTCAATGAACTGAAATATGGTGGAGAAGAAGTGTGAAACCACCTTCAAATTTGATGTTCTGTTAGCATATCATGCTTTAAAGATCTTGTTGATCAAGAAAATTATCTTTTTTTCTCCAACCTCTTCTTCCTCCTTTTCAGCACTGTCTTTTTTCACCAGAAACACTCTGGCCATTTCCAGTGTTTTTGTGGTATTGTATCTGTACTTCAATTTCTTTGTTTCCTGTGAGTCACTTGATTCTGAAATCAAACAAGCAAACAAGCAAACAATTAAAAACAACACATTAAAAGAAAAATAAAATGGTGCTTGTGTGCAGTGTGGTTAAAAGACAGTCACCATATTTTAGCAACAGTTTTGATTTGGGATAGCCCTAATTTCATTGGTAAAGTGTTTTATAATTTACATAACATCACCCTTTTTTCTTTTTACCTCTAATGGCTTTATACAAATAAAATAAGAATCGGATAAGGCAGATAAGTGACCATCAGGTAAGTCTATCAGATAAGTGACTTGATGGCAATTGATAACTTATAGGAAAAAAAAATGACAATTTGCCTGAAGAATCTTCGAGTCAATTAGCAGGATTTAATAAAGCAAGGATGAAATGAATAACACTGTGCTTTCCCTCTCCGAGATGATAATATTAGGGCAAATGCTCAGCACAGGGAAAAACCTGTTCTCAGATTTTATCAGTTGTCGAGGCATGCCCTCAGACCCAACTTGAGTCCAGTACAAAACACTCACTCCACCTGTTTGCAAAACTGGTTAACTAATAACTAATAGTACAAACAACAAATGTATCTAGATTACCTAGTTCCTCAAACAGAACATGTGTACCAATAGGCTCTGAAAACAGATTATGCAAAATAGGATAGCAAATAATTTATACTGATAACCTGATTAATAAAATCCAAAATATTTTTAAAAATTATTTTATTTTACATGTAATATTTTTAAAAACACAATGAGTATTTTTAAACTAACTTTTCAAACTCATTAATAATTCATAAAGAAAATACAATTAAAAGGAAATTAACACTTAATGAGGGTTGAAAATCAGATGAAAAACTGCTCATTGTTGCATCCTTAATTTCTTGTTCTAAAATCATTTTGTTTGAGAAGTAATATCAAGGATTCGTCACAGTGTTTCATCACCAGATGAAACACTTTAACTCCCTTCTCAGTATTTCATCTGGCAATGAAACTGTGTGTCATCCTTGATATATCTATATTATTACATCAACACATTCGGCTACAGCAAATGCCATTTTAAGTTGCAAGCTTAACTTGAGGACAAAAAAATATAACATCTTCACCTTTGAGCTCCCCAGTAAATGTATAATTTCCAATCTGCAGCACAGGTTCATCTGTGTCAATACCCTGTAATGGAACAAATCCCTTATAAATTTACATACCCAATTAGACTGCGAAACAATCCATATTCAATAACGCCTAGTCAAATATGCACAAACAGTCAAATGAAAAGTCTGGAGGTTTTTTCCCTGCAAGCATGTGAGGCTCATGCACTTTGCACATGTAAGACTCTGACCCTGCACCAGCACTTCACACCTTGAAAAGGCGAGTTTGAAAAAAAAAACTGAACAAACAAACAACTCAAATGAAGAGTGTTCCTCGCAGTTGTGATTGCAAATATTTATACAATAATTGCATTAGCAGCTTGAAAAAAATATTTAGGCCTGGACCAGCGTAGTCTGCTACACAGCCGTTTTTAGAGTCGTCACCCAACGCTCCTCCCCACTAACGGCTGCTGAAAACCGAACTACATTCCTTTCCCGTGATTAGCCAATTATAATTCAGCTCCCATTTTCTGGAAGGTGTTCGCACCACGTTTGCGGTACTGTGACTCCTCCAATCAGAGCTTTGCTTTTATCGGTGCCCCATGTGTGAATGGCAATTAACTACAGCAGTGTTGTCGTAGTCGAGTCCTATTCAAAATTTAGGAGATAAGCAGTAGCAGCAAGCAAGTCGAGCAAATTGCGATGCACAACATGGATGTGCTCATAAAGTTGCCAGGTATAGTTTCGGGATATCGCTCATCGATAATTAATTTAATTTTTGCTTTTTGAATCAGTACCCTTGACAGTTCAGTCTTCACAGGAACACAATAAGCACATCTGGCACATTAAAATTCTTCATTACGTATCAGTAGATATGCGTGTTAAATGAAGAACCAACCGATCCTGGTAAAAGTCTCGTAGGCTATCAAACCTTTTTTTCACTTGGAACTTTCTTGACTGCTTAAAACAAGCTTTTTTGCAAATTAACCTTTTCATTGCTTGAAAACACAGAGCCCGACTAAGTTCAGCGACTATTGATTGATTTGTCGAAAACTGAGAAGCGTGCTCGCTTCCTAGCACCCTGCTGCTCACGTATTGTCAAATTTCTTGTACATGATTGGCTTGTTCGTTAGACCACAAACACAAAGGGAAAGGAATAAAGTTCGGTTTTCAGCAGCCGTTTGTTGGGAGGAGCTTTGCGTGACGACACTAAAAACGGCTGTGTGGCAGACTAGGACCAGCGTGCAAAGAAAGTCATGTCCGATAGCCCGCGGCTGGTGGATTTTGCTATAGGGCTAGTGTTTTTTGTTCTTAACTTTTCTTAACTTGGGGAAATTCAAATTACAGAAGGATTGTTATCAATCCTGCTAATCAAAAAGGGTTTGGGGGCTAGTTGAAATGACTTGTGGGCTAGTACATGCTATCTAGAGCTTGCTTGAATGACAGGCTGTAAGACTGACTTTCTTTACACCCTGAGGACTTCAACGGGATTTGAACCCGTGACTTTGTGATACTGGTGCAATGCTCTGACCAACTGAGCAATAAAGCCACTGATATTGGAAGCTGTTTTAGGCAACACCAACCTCGAGATGAGGCTTGTGGGCCAGCAGTTGCACCCTACTGTAGACATTTAGGTAGAGTGGCCAACTGAGGGTTTGAGTACCAATTGCATAACATTTGGGCATGTGATGGGGTATGTGGTAATTCAACTTTCCCTTCCCCCAGGAATTTGCCATCCAGGACAAAAAAACTAATGTCCGGGGAAGGGGAAGGGGAAGGGGCAGGGGCATTGGTGCAGCTAAAATAATTGACTGATGCATTACCGTCATTGAAATAAGGCCTTCTGCACACTGAGTCCCACCAACTTTTCCCCATGCACATCACTTATCAATGAGTTTAAGGACCATAATAAGCCACATTTATTTCAATTTTAATTGTTTTCTCAACATACTATCAAAAAGGTAAGAAAACTACTTATTAGCAAAACTCACCAAAAGTCGGCAACTTTCAGACTTGCACTTGTATAAGAAGTCACTGTCTATGACTCCTTTCAGTTCAATGACAATGAGATGCTCCTGTTTTACAAAAAGGGGAAATTGCATGTTAACCCTTGGAAAGTCTTTTCAACACATTGCAAAACAAGATGTACAGGAGCAAAGAGCTTCCTTGCCAGCTTCACAGAATTGAACATACATCCCTCCAAGTTGCGACCATTTTAGTCGCCATGGGGCCTAGAATTTTGAGGTGACTTGATTTGTAAAAAAGCCTCCCTAAACGAAAAGAATTGGTCGCTAAATGGTGACCAAGCAAAAACTTTAACTTGGAGGGTTGACATAGGGGGCCAAAATGCTACCCTGCAAGCAGAAGTTTCTCTCTGGCCTTTAGCAACACAATTTTGCTCACATCATATCACTTATCATTTGCGTAGTTGGTTTGTTTATGCCACGGAAAAAACTTCTGCAGAAAGCCCCATGTACATGTAGTTTCCGTTTAGACACCTCCAAAATCTTGGAGATAGACACATGATTAACAGGTTTTATAACTGATTTTAAACAGTCAAACAAACCGATTTGTTGTGCAAAACAGAGTCTGCAGGAGACTTTCTCCCCCAACGCTACAGCGTTGTGATTTCTCTCATGGGATGAAATTTGTGTCATTATCTCTATAATAATTAATTAACGATCTGGCGCATGCTCAACGGAAACCACAAGCAGCTTGCCACAGGACTTTCTCCCCGGGCAAAAAAACAAAACAAAACTATGCGATAACAAGTGATGCGAACTACTTTGTGAATGCTAAAAGCCATGCACGAGAGAAACCTCTGCTCGCAGTGTACCTAAACATTCCCTATGACTTAACAAGAGATATATTTGGAATAATAAAATGAAAATCGCCGCTAGATCGACACAGCAAAGGTACAAAAGGTTTTATTGGGGGAACACATCACTTTTCCCTGTTGTTCAACTGTCACATCCCTGTTGAACTGACAGGATCAGTTCATAGGCTTGATGATGTTGTATGAAATCATGCATCATGGGATGAAATTCCCCCTTTGTTTTTAGAGTAAAGCTCACTTGCATTGTACGACTGGTAAGATTTCCGTATAACTCCAACATTTATTATGCATGCAACAATTTCATACTTTTTCGCACAAATAGTTTAAAATAAGTAGAGTCAAAACACGTATGCATTATAAATGCATGGGTTTATATACGGAAATCTTAGCAAAACAGGGGTTATATGCTTCTGACCAAAAATATAATAGAAGATGCTGAAGATTATGACATGCAACTCGACCATCGATGATTGTTTTCTTTCAAGTTTGATGTTTATGCGAGTTTGCTAGACATATTTAACGGCTCTTACCTCTTCTTCCCACTCTTCTTCGTACATATCTTCTACGTAACACCCACAACACTATTCGAGCTTTGCAATAAGCTAAGAAATCTCTGCCAAACTCTACAATCCAAAATGGTCTAGCGTGCATTTGTGAATCATAGGATGACCAGAATGAATGAGCCTAGAATAGCGAGGGACCTGGTAGAGAGTTTTTGGTCTCGACCCAGGCTTTTAAAATTGTTCATCAAGCGAGCAACGCCTGTCTACTATTGTTTCACTTCCTCTTTCATTTTAATGTGATGTTCCACGTTTGCAGATCGAAACCATGTATAGAACCTATGTACGTAAGTCTTTTCTTGGTATTTGTTATGAATTTTTTTACAGTACTGTTTCTGTTTCCTTAGTGTAGATCCTTAACAAGTGGAATGCTTTTCACCCGGGGGTTTAAATTAGGTTAAATATTTGTGTAGGAACTTTGTTTACCTACATGTACGTTAGGCTTACAAATAATTAGAGTTCTTTGTCTACGTCAAGCCGATTTTTCACGGAGATTGTATAAAAGATGGTAATTATGGCGTCTGCACCTAAATAATGTCCTAATTTAATTGCCCATTTTTTTAAAAAATTGAGAGCATTTTATATATGCTGTGTGTATTTGCCGGCTGATGATGCCACTTGTCCTCATGGACACAGAAAGGGCAGAAGAAAAAATGCACTTTATATGAGTGTCAATGTATTTAGCACAGAAGTACTGGGCACACTATTGTTGCATCTCCGACTAGAGATGGGATTGCCATTTTACACGGTCATCTGAGCCATGTGAAGGTCTAGCTGTTTAGGATAAAGGCAGTAACAAAATTTCTCAGCTATGTTAAGACTCTGAGTGTATTAGTTCAGCCCTGGGAATCAAACCCACAACATCCCTCTCTGCAGTCAACCACTCTACTGACTGAGCTAATCCTGCTGTCTCCTTCTCCTGTAGAACCCAAGTGCACCAGGGATGCATAATTATGCAGGACACTGGAGTGACAGCCACACAAGAGTTTCATACAAAGAAAAACCTGGCTTCTTTGGACAAATACAGCAGAGTTTCTGGGCATCTCTTATTGGAATTCTTCTTGTTGTTGTCTCATTTCCTGTCATTTACTGGAATGAGGTACATGTAACAGAGAAGTAATGGGGTTTGCTTTTTTGATACTGGTATAAAAATACTTGATTGTCCGATGGAAGGATACAACAAGCAGAACATTTGTTGCTGAAGAAGGGGATTCTTATAAATGGTGGTAACATGTGGATTAAAAATATTTTGATATGTAAACACATAGTTTTAATTGCAAATTTTTAATCTCTCATGTTCTCAACCAACAAACTGCTGTAGTCAAAACAAATTAATACATGGCCAAAAAATGCTAGTGTTGCTGAAAATTGAGAGGGAGATGAAGGGTAGTGTTCTCTCTAAAGCTGAAGGGGTTCAATTGCCAAAAGAGCCCTAAAATAAGAGACTCTGATCTTTAAATGATTGTCAAGTTAGCAAATTGTGAAGAAAGGGTAAATTTCGAAGGGAAAATCTAACAAAGTGGCAGAAGGCACTTTAGAAAAAGTATTGGGGCTTTCTTTCCTGCCACCCCTTCAATCAGTAAGCATTTTCATATATTTTTGGATACGGAGCAGTAATAAGTTTTATTGCTGCATGATCATTAATATTTTGCTGCCAATACATGGAGACATAAAATTACTACGGAAAAATATTAAATGATTCTGTTTAACTTACTATAGCAATTAACTGCTTAACTGTGAAAATTGCTTTATTATTGAATATATTATTACCACAATAGGGAAGAGCTGTTCAAACAGCCCTATCATTAGATGAAGGCCTGAGACAAGTTGTTCGTCTTCAATATATTGATCAAGTCAGTCCTGAGTATGACAACAGCTTGGTTCACTTAACAGGAAGTTTACAAACAGACAGAGTAAGTTCCACTCTTGGATCCTAATCTAAAGCCCCAGGTTTCCTGTACAATTATTTATTGTTGCAACTGCTGAAAAAAGTCCAGTGATCAAGACAATACGTTTTATTTTTTAATATTGATCGGGAAAACAATTATGCATTATGATACTTATAACCACTGGTGCTATAATAAATTATTGTTGAAGAGTTGTTTCCATAGTGAATCTTGACAAAAACAGAGCTCACAAATTTCTGAAAACAAGTTTGATTGTGTCTTAATCGGTATAGTAACCTTTAAGCTACCTGTTTTAAAACATGCTAGGGAAACAAGACGTTCACGCCTATCATTCATCATCAAACTGAACTAACTGAGGTGTTGTTTTCTTAGCCTCTAAGTGATGAACAATACGGCATTGCTGTCAGGGCTGTGAAGCTAAGAAGAAAGGTTGAAATGTATCAGTGGGTGGAGCATAAAAAGACTCGGTAAAATATATATTATAACCTCAATTATTATTAGACAGTTATCAGTACTGCTTATAGAGAGGGATTAATGTGCATAAATATGGGCTTGTAACCAGGGGGATTTGCTGATATTATACATTAATTCAAGGGCTTGGTCAAAAACTGCAAAAACATAAGTGATGATTTTGCTGAAATACAAAGTTGTTTAAAAATCACTGAATTTTCATGAATGATTATTTTCCCTGTGTTACAAAACAGGCTTCTGCTTTTTTGATACAATGGATTCCTGATCAGCACTAGGGCTATTGATCGAAGTAATATTATTTAGTGTGGTTTTACTTATCTTTGACTTTATTTCCTCATAATTAATTATGCATTGATTCACTTCATTCACTTACTTCATCCAATTGATTTTTTTTAGAGAATATGACGAGGGAGGAAAAACAAGAGTAGAAACAACTTTTTCTTACTGTAAGTAAATAAATAAATAAATAAATAAATAAATAAAAAAGTGATCTATATATAATTCCACTATTTTTTTTACATGCCGTTATATTTTCCTTTGAGATAACATAGTCATTGAATAGTATACTTGACTGTGTATGGATATCATCACTTATTTTACAAGGGGGTGAAGCATTGCCGCCAGTTACCTTTGGGCAGGATAAATGACACTGATAAATATGTCTGTGCTAGTCCTTCTATTTTTTACTGTACATGCATAATATGCATGTACAGTAAAAAATAAAAGGACCTGAGCACAGACATATTATGTTACAGGTCAAAATTAAATCCTTGAAATATATGGTTATTGTAGCAATGGAGTGGAAAGACCATATTGTTAGAAGTGGTGAGTTTGATAATCCATCAGGACATCAAAACCCTCACAGCATGCCGGTGGAATCTTATACAATTAAATCAGACCCAGTCAAGGTTGGAGCGTTCATTTTGTCAAAAGGTAAAGTACAGTATCATATGTGAATAAATCTTCTTTTCTTTTAATGAAGAAGCCTAACCGTATAAACCTTGAAATATAAAGAAGATCATCACAGTTGAAGAATAACATGCAATTTAGGCAGTTGAGAAAAGAATGCCTGAAAAAATTCAGGCGTGTCAGGATTTGAACCTGGACCTCTGTGATCCTGGTACAGCACTCTAACCAATTACGCTGTAGCAAAAGCACTTCCACCAAAATTAATAAAAAGTTTGAGGTCATGCCATTTCCTGATAACTTTTTTTGTTATTATTTTATTCTTTTGACTTTCTTTTTATTTATTTCTCATTCTTTTTTTTAGGCCTTGTTGAAAAAATAAATGAGTTTCACCCGCTTGCTCCAAGAGATTTGGTCAAAAGAGGACGAAAAATGTACATTCACGATGGAATGTTTTATCATACAAAGGATCAGTTTTATCCCGCGGTAAGAAAACTCAAGCAGCCATTATAGCATCTCGGCACAGGTTTTCATCCACGAATGCTCTCATAACCTGCAACACATTGTCAGATGACCAGGACATAATTGAATTGCCTGCCTTCTACAACAATGTCATTTTTTCCAATACATTGTACAGGCATTGAGAAAAATTACTCCCAGAAAATATTAATGCCATTAACACTATACTGGATGACTCTTCAGGTTGTTGTAAGTACAATATGTTGGAACTGTTGAAACTATAAAGATCCAAATAAATGAGAAACTCAATCAGCCTTACATGTAGTGAAAAAGTTATTTTATTAATGAAAAGAAGATATTATACAGCTTTTTTGTTCTGTCTTGATTTTTTTTTTTAAGTGTTTCACTGCTATGCAAATAACTAATAATTTATATCATTTCTAATATACCTATTTTGTTGTTGTTATTGTTTAGGTTGGTGATGTGCGGGTGCAGTTTTCTTATGCTGGACTGAGTGGAAAACCTGGCTCGGGACTAGGGGACCCCCTGAAGGTAGAGAAATACTCTCAAGAGTAATCAATAACCAAACTACTCCCTCTTAAGAAAACAAGCGACAACATGTGAAACTTGCACATGCTTGCAGAACTTAGAAAAAAAATGATTGCTTCTGTTTTTCTATAAACAGGTCAGTATTGTTGCCCGACAGCAAGGAGGAGCACTGTCCCATTATAACACCGAATCTGGGGATACACTGGAGTTTCTCTACCCTGGAGAAATGAGTGCAGAGGTAAATAAAAATGTTTTCAAACAACAACACATATCTACACCTGAATGTACTTTCTTCTTTTGGACTTAATGGCATACCAGAACAGGTTTCAAAAATAGGCTTGGCATTTTCAAATCATCTATTAACAGTTTAATTAAACCAGTGAGAAGTTGGCCAAATTTTGGTATTTTCATTCTCCACCTTAATAAAGTTCTTTTTTGTTTGTTTGTTTTCTGAATTGCAGGAGATTTTTGATGCCGAGCATTCTGCCAATACTCTTCTCACTTGGGCCCTGAGGGGAGTAGGTTGGGTCTTGATGTTTATCGGATTTCAAATGATGACAAGCATTCTTACTTTGTTGAGTAAGTAAAACGATAAACATTACCTTAAGGCAGTCATTGTAGACAGTCAGGTAAAGGAACAGTAGGCCCTAGCTATAGCCCTAATACAAGGGCTTCTTGCTAGGAAGAACAAAAGAAATCAGAGGTTTCAAAGACCTGACACCAGCTATGTGTTAGAAATTTAAACATGCTTTGTTTTATTTTCCAGTCTCTTGGGTGCCAATTGTCCGTGAGCTGGTGGGCCTGGGTTTGACCTTACTATGCCTGTGTCTTGCCACCTCGTTGTCATTGGTTACCATAGCAATTGGCTGGATCGCTCACCGACCACTTCTAGGCATGACATTATTGGCAGCAGCTGCTGTGCCAATACTGATATCTAGACAACGGAGGCAGAATACTTATGACCGCGACAGATGAACACAGAGCTTTCAGTATTAACATTAGAACGATCATAGTTCTATGCTATCATTGGTTGCTATTAAGGTGAATTTTTAACAGATCTCAATGTATATAGGAGAACATTGCTCTGCAGAGAGTGCATTTTCCACACTGAGGGTCCAATGGCACACAGTTTTCACAGGCTGCTCTAATCTTAGACATGTTTTAGATCCATTTTCCAGTCAAAATGCAAGTTACAGAGAAAGGAAAGCAGTGGAACTCTTGTGGAAGTCTCAGTTCCCTGAATTGTCAAACTAGACTGGTCTAGCCTAAATTTGACGTGACTTTGGCAGTTCATGTCAAGCATTGGCTTCTGTATAAACTATAAATTTATTTTATAAGGTAGATAATAACCTGAGCATGGGCTTATTTCCCAAAGAGGGACTGGTTATTAAGCCTAGATTCAATGCAGCTATATATATAGAAGCCTACAAACTTGAATAGTTTGTTACTATAGGTGGCAAGCATGAATGTGGCATACAAAGGGGAGCTCATGAAAGAATTTTACCTGAAATTTATTTACAATATGTTTATCAGGCTGAAAAATAAATGTAGAAAGCAACTAAAAGAAACAACTACCTAGTTGTGTAGTATTTTGAAACAGATAACCTGCTCACTTGTACTTTATATAAATTATATACAACGGTTTTAGTATAATTAAGAGAGCAAGGCTCATTTCATGTTACTGCCATGCTTACTTTTTGACTAGCAGAATTGATTTCACAGTTCTTCTGTTATTCAAATTCCTTAAAAAAACATCACTTGCTCATCGGGCAAGTTAAAAACAGAACTCACTAGCTCAATAGTATTAACCTGAGATCAGGCTCTATTTTTGATTAGCTTTGAAAATAACAATTCCGGCGGGCAAGGTGAAGTGGTAGCAGTTAGAGAGAATGTATGAGAACTGCTAAAATTGTGCCTGATCTCAGGTTAGCTCGATAGCAAAATCCACTAACCCCGGCTATCAGACACTACTTTCTTTGCACACTGGAGGATCAGGTTGGTGTGTTTTTAAAATGTACAATGTATTTTTAATGTATTTGTTATTTGAAAATTGAGATCAGCATGGCAGTAGCATGACATTAGAAATCAAAACTATGATGAATTTAATTCGTTCAACTGAGTTTGGCACAGAAGTAGCACAAAATTAAAGGAAACAGGCCAAAGCATAAATTATTTGTTGCTTTTTTCTTAACACAATTATCAAACTGTTATGAAGCTTAAGTAGTCATGACGGAGACAAGAACACCGTAAAAAACAATAATAAATTATTGGTTTTATGAGCAAAAACAACAGCTCTGCACGTGCATCACACTTTTTAGTACACTTTGACATCCACTGCATGACTACGACGTTTTATGGAGGACGTAAACATACAACAATGAATTTCCTTTCTCCCTTTGAACCTGGATAAAGTCCAGGAAAATAGCTACAATTTGACAAACTGAGTGGGTCCAAAAAGACAGAATAAAGTTTAAAAGGATGCAAGTTCAATGATTTTCTGTTAGCAACATTTTTCACTTTCGTAGTTGTTTCTTAAGCTCCCATTAACATAATAATATAGTATCTTTGTTATGTGACTGGACTATACTCCCTGATGTCACGTATCCAATTTGCAGATGTCGTCATAGGGAATTCTATCAATTCTCTTGCCCCTGTGAGGTCCCTGAGGAAACACAATAACAAAAGGCATTGTGTAAACTACTATCAGTAGTGAATTCAACACTTAGTTAGCATTGCTGTTCTGGTCCTGGTTCAATTTTATTGTCTTTTGTTTCAGACTCATTACTAAACCCCAAAACAAAGGAAAATAAAATAAAATTTTAAGGGGCAGGGGGCCCGGGGAGGAGGGGTTTGGGTGGGTTTGGTTTGGGGGGGTAGCGGGGTAGCGGAGGGAAGCAGCAGCCTTGAATCCAGTCTAGCCACTTCAAAGGAAGAGAAATGTGGAGTAGAAAATGGAGATGAGTCAATTTACCTCATCATATTTAACTTGGGTGATGAAACTTAATAATATGAAAATAAAGATATTTTATTATAGTCAGTGTGTTCATTTCATGAAACATTATATAAACCATATTGTGTTAGAACATAAGATTTATCCGAGGGGATTCTTCAAGGTTTTATAACATTAATTATTTGAATTAAACGTCAGTAATCAAAACAACTTGATCTTTGTAGCACCTTTGACTGCGATTAGCTAAAGAGTCCAGTGTGTAGGAGACAAGGAAAGGGAAATCAGGTAAGGGGCAGGCAAGAGGCCTTGCATTATCCCACGGTGATTTTCCTCTCCTCTCCTCTACTCTTTGCAGGCCAAGATGGCGTAAGGAAATCATAATTTCCTCATTCTATCTTGCAAGGAAGGGAAGTCCCTTTAAAAGGAGACAAATCGGACTTACATCTTTAAGATCCACAGTAACTGAAAAGCTTTTTTCATCCAGTGATACAAGTGATGCTTTTGATCCTCTGTGGATGCCATTTACAATCAGTACAGTTTTACCTGAAAATCCATTTACAAGTTTTGCTAGTAAGCACTTCGTTACAAGTTGTGACAATTTGCTTCTCTCAAGATTTCACAGAAAAATAAATTGGTATATATTCTTACAGTACATCCATTAAAGCTATAGTTTCCTGATATTCAAAGAAAATTGGGACTCAAGTTACTCTTTGACCTGTGCTGACTCATAAGCTGTCTTGGAGTAAATCTACATTGTATAATGGACCAGGAATAACATGGAAAATTTTGCTACCACTCTAGCTGTAGCCTGACTCCTCCTCTCCTTTAAAATCAAAGCAAGATAATCCTAGTAGAAGCAGGTTTTGAGCAAGCCTTGGAGAATTGAAGGAAAGCGATCAAAATGATTTTTTTTCATAGTGAATGAGTGTGGAAATCCCATACTGACGATGTGTCATGTCCCAAATCTGGGTAGTGCTTCTGATTGGTCGTGCGACAAGGGAAACTTGCTTTAACCAGTCAGAAGTACACTGTACTACCCAGATCTAGTTTACTAGTGACACAACATCAATATTGAATTTCTGGAGTCATTCCTCAAAAGGTCATTTTGCGGGGAAACCAGTGGTGACATCGCGAAATGTTAGCTTGTTTTTTAATGCTACACTAGTTTATGATGATTCACACTTACCAAAAGCTGGGATAACTGTTTCCAGGTGATCCTGATCAACTTTAATCACATCTCCACTATCTGACATCTTTACAACAGCGACAAATAAGTTCTGAATATCCTGCGATTAAAAATAACGAAACATAATAATACACAACATTAATTAATTCTGTCCTGTCCTTAGGAAGTGTTTTTTATTTATTTATTTTTATGGACAATAATCCATAAGAAGTAGGAACCCCAAAAGGTTTCTGCAGATCTCCTTCTTGGAACCCAAGATTCAGGAATCTAAAGATCATGAACAAAAGTGGGTGCGAGATTGGGTATTTACATTTGGGTGTGTCCGATGGGATGGGGGATCTTCACTGTAGTGACTTAATGAAGTGGGATGAGAAGGAAAATTGTGGCCTTGCTTTATTTCAACTACGTGTGTTTCTTTTTGAACGAAACACATACCTTGACTGTTCCTTTCTTTTTGTAGTATTTATCACCAAGTTTTTTGGTTACAACTTTGACTATAAGTCCCTGTAAAGGAAGGAATAACAGCCAAGAAGGCACTTAATTAAAACAAAATATCCTCAGTGCTTCAGATTCAGATGATACATAATAAAATCAAACTCAAGTGTACTGGAAAATGTAATGAAATCGGACATGGAAAAAAGATTAATGCGTCTGGAAGTCTGCGATAGAGAGTTTTGAAACAGCATTTTTATAAATAGTTTGCAATCTTAATCTGTTGGAAAGAAATTTCTACCTTGCAGTTCCCGAGGGAGGGGAAGGTGGGGGCGGGGGAGGGGGGTGATTGAGTCTCTAGGGTACCTTTGCTATCCAGTTACTTTTGCGGCTGGCTTTCATCTTTTCCTGTTCTTGCATCTGTCGAGAAAAAAAACTGTGATTATTATTATTATTATTACAAAAAAGAGTGCTTGAAAGAAAGGTTGTTTTATTATGTACAATATAAGTGGCATTCCTGATCGTAATGACTAAAAGGAAGTTACTGTAATAGCAAATCAAAAGTCAAAATTAATGAACAACCAAACAAAAACACTCACTTCCATGATTTCTTCCAAAGCTGATTTTCGTTTTAAACTGCAAAAAGAATTACAGTACAGCAATCATGCATCTGAATGGGAAATTTTTCCACTTACTGATACTTTATTTTACGTTTTTCAACATTATGGAATGAAATTCAAGAACTGGCGAGAATTGACTAGTGAAAGAAAAAGGGAGTGAATACTAGGTACCTTTCTTTTGTTTTCTCTTTATCCATTTTCTTCTCCTTTTGTGAAGAGCTTAGAGAGGCTAAGGGATTCTGTAGAGATGAAGGATTTGACTCATCTATTCTGAAATTTAACCAAAAGGAAAGTTTGATGATCTGTTTGTCAACTGTTTATCTCATTGTAGTCACTTTGTCATTTTTTGCATCAGAACTTCAGGAAAATAACATTGGAAAGTATAAAGTTATGGATGATCAGTAAACATTTCCCATGGTTTATCATAGGAATGGGATAATGAGGTACGCATGGGCCCCACATTACATGTAAGACCACAAAAAAAATTTCTGCGCTGGCGCTTCTTTTAAAGTCAAGGAAATCCTGCAATATTGCAGCCAAGAATAAACTATGCTCACTCCCCAAGTTTTCTCTTCTGAAAAGGTGACCAGCCCTAGTGGATCTTTTGCATAACATCCTTAGATGGTTTTGAAAGGAAGAAAACGAGGAAAGAAGAGTCAGCAGGTGCTATGAGTGGCAGGGTGTGGGTCATGGGATACACCCCCATAAAGATTATCATGGTCTTCATGGCAAAAAAGGGGGGGCACTATTGGTTAGGGTGTAGTTTTAGGGCATCAGTCCTTGATGTTCCAAAAAAGGTTTTAAGTCTAAAGTGGATGGAGTTGCACAATAACATTGCATCATTGTCAATTTCTTTGAGATAACATTTCATGATGCCACCAGTAGTATAACCCCTTGAAATGAGCTCTGAGGAACGAGCATAGAAATTCCATATGATTAGCACGACTATGTAATATACTTATTTTAAGATTTACTGTAGCTCTGCCGTTGATTTTCCCATGTGTAATTATGATAATATTAAATTTTTGTTCTAATTATCTAACTGAGGGAGCCCATTCCTTATAAGCCCGGTGGCTTCTCTTGGGCTTCCTCACCATGAGAGTTTAAGTAATTAGATTTTATTTGATTTGTACAATTTTTGGCAAACAAAACAATAAACAATAAACAATAAAAAACAATACTGATAATTGGGATGTGCCAAAGCAGATCTGGGTAGTGCTCCTGAATAGTTAAAGCACATTTTCAACCAATAAGGAAGCACATGCACCTGGCACCCAGAGCTGGGTAGCTTTGACACATCAGTATGGAATCTCTGCAGTCTTTCCTCAGAAGTCATTTCGCCGGAAAGCAGTGGTAGAGTTGCAAAATGTTGCCTGTTTTCTCGAGCTAAGATTACTTTTAATGTGTCATGTACAAATTATTTGTGATTCATCTCAAATATTCAAATTCATTTTTGAAATCAATTATAATAATTGGCATGGATGAGCATAACAAAAACG